AAATTTCCACTTGAAAAAAAAAAAAAAACAGAAAGGAGAGAGGAGCAGGAGGAGGATTTTCCCTAGTGTACTGGGAGAGTTCTGAGTTTCCTTTTCTTGGGGCAAGGCTTGACCTGAGTGGCGTAAAACCTGGCAGTACGGACCTCAGTTATTATGCCTATGAAAGACTGTCAAAAACAGAGGGAATAAGACAGGGAAGGGTAAGCTTTAAGGTTTAGCTTTAGGACACCGAGAATCAGTAAAGCCACAAGTGTATAGATATGGAGCTCCTAAAAATTGACAGCACACCTCACTACAATTGCTTCACTAAAATTTCACACTTGAGACGCCCTACCACTACCAGTGCCACAAATTATAATTTGACCCTTTTCAACTTGCTTCTCCAAGTTGCACTAAGAAGCCCAAGGCTATCTGTAGACTCTTTTTCCTTTCCTGTGATGGCAAGAAAGACCGCAGATTCAGGCAACAGATAAATTGACGTTTAGACAAGTTAAAAATTTGGGTCCACAGTAGAGTTTTTTGTTCCTATCATGAAAGATCGAAGGGAATTATCAGCAAAGAACACAATCCTAGCATTTGAAGCATAGGGGACATCCAGCCGTCAGGGTACTTTTTGATAATCTTTCTTTAAAGCAATGGACTTCTTCGAATGGAATCCATATGATATCCAGTAGTGAACTCCAAGCCTCGGAAAATAACTTCCAGTTCTTGCAACCTCTAAATGAAACATATATAAACACTAGAACAAGCAAGCTGACATCCATAGCTTCACAAGAAGAATACCAAGATGAATTCAACTCTTCTTTTCTTCATCATCTTCTGCACTTCCATCAATATCTGCCTGGCAGATAGCGGTAACCTCCAGGATGCTTGTCCAACCGATATGAAAGCAAAACAAACTCTGTTCATCAACGGTTTCCCTTGCAAGAATCCTTCCAGCATCATTGCTCCAGATTTCAAGACTTCAGACATAAACCATGCTGGAGATACAGACAACTTCCTTCATTCCTCTGTAAACATAGTCACTGCTGCAGATTTCCCAGGCCTGAACACTCTCGGCCTATCAATTGCGAGAACTGACCTTGATTTGGATGGTCTGTTAATGCCTCATTCCCACCCTAGAGCCTCTGAGTTGTTCTTTCTTAGAAAAGGTATTGTGCTTGCTGGTTTTCTCGACACCAACAATAACCTTTTTCAATCGCTCATAAAGGGAGGAGATGTCTTCTTGTTTCCCCGCGGTCTGCTCCATTTTTGCTTGAATGCTGGTTATGAGCCTGCAATTGCATTCTCCGTACTGAACAGCCAGAATCCAGGGGTGGTAAGCATTGGTGGTGCCATGTTTGAGACTAATTCGGAACTGATAGATAAGATTACAAGGAAATTGATCTCCGTTCCCGCATCTGAGCTTAAACACATCAGGAATGCCACTCTGGCTAAATTTTCCAGAATTCATATACAGTAAAGTCTAAGAACATTGTGCTGATTTATAGTTTCTATATGTAGTGTTGTATTGCCATTGGTATGAGCTTGAACATTTGTGTGCAACATGAGTGAAAAATGCACTCTTTGTTTTAAAGTGCTTACTTCAGTGGTTTGGTGCTCCACTCTATATCCATACATTTAAAGATAAGATACAAAAGAATGTTCTTAGATTGCATTGGTGTTTGATGTCTTAATTTTTGCTTGTACTTTGAGTCCTAAGTAAATCTATAGAGCTTGATTATATTTGTTTTAACTGGTATTGTGTTGAGTTTTGATCTTTAGCTGATTCATCATCAAGAATGGCAAATTGGCAAAAAGAATTTGAAAAGAAAAAGGTGTAGGACTTATGGCATGTTGGCAGCAATGTGCTTTTCGAAAATTTAAGTGGAAATTTCATATTTTTTAAAGTAGAGAGACATCTTTTTAAAATCAACAAAATGTAGGGGGCGAAACAGAAATTTTATCTCCTCGATATAAACTAATAATTTTCAAATTTGCATTTCATCAAACGATTCGCGCCGAACTAGTGCTCTCAAAATCGACTGAAAAAACAATTGTAGTAGAAGAAACAAATGGTTCTCCTCTGTTTCTTGCTGGATCTATGTAGCCTCTCGTCTCCATTGCTCAGAGACCTAAAGCAGGTAATCGATTGCAAACGCAGAGATAAAAACTTGCCATAAATTTATCGATCGATTAAGAAATTTGGTCGCGATTTTCGCAGTCACTGTTACAGCTGGCTAATCTCTACACTGTTTCATGGAATTGGAGGAATAAATCGGATTCACTAGGAGATCGAATTGGTTTGTGCTACGTCATCAAAAATCGCATTTCTTCTTCGGACGAGGTAACTCTGTCTGATTTAACCGGAGATTTCAATAAATGAGATGTATTTTGAGTTTTTGACTTAAAAAATCTGGAATACAGCTAAAGGTGGCGTATAATCCAAGAGGAGACTTCAGTCTTCGTGATTTCCACCACGCTGTGAATAGTTTGCCAACCGATTCGTTTTCCCCTGAGCTCAACGATTCTGGATCTCTCTCTTGCCACGGTCTTCCCCTCTCTCTCAAGTTTTTATATATGTTTGTTTCGATTATGTAAAACAGAGTTCTTATTTTGTTAAACAGATGCATAACTCTAACCATTTAGATCAATCAAGTTCTGTTTTATGTTTCTTTTTATTGTTTAGGTGCGGTTGTTACTTTACTATCAACATTTTGCTTCAAAAGATAAAAGCAAAAAACCAAAACAAAAGTTTGGATGTAAACGTAAGCTGTATTTTTGAAGAATTAAATTTTTTTTTTAAATGTATGATTTTACTTTTATACAAAACAATGTGTTAAAATTAATGTTGCATGTTATTTCTTTATTCATTTTTAATCAATTATAATTTTTATTTTACTGCTTAAGAAACAAGAAGCAAGCAGTAAAAGTAACAAACAAACCAAACCTGAAACAATAATAAAAAATTCGTTAACGGATGCTGTACTTTAGGTTTGATTGAAATTTTCTTTCATTTAGCAGTTATGAAACTTTCAAGTGTTTTGAGTGATCAAGTTTTGTATTCGTGGGGAGGAAAAGATATCGTGCGGAAAGTGATTGTCTTGTGTTCGTTTTTACCTGAAAATATAGACTCTGGCTTGAAAGAAACTCTTATGGTGAGCCACATAATACCAAAGTTTGGATTTTGCCTTTCTTTGGATTTCTAGCATAACCTTCAAGCTTTATTTTCTTGCAGGATGCAGCAGATAAATGTGTTTCCGTCGAGTTCGTTTTGCTTGAGCAAAGATCAAACCATCTCAGTGATATAAGAGAGAATCTAAACAGTTTTGCGAGATGTATTTCTGATCTTGACAACTGCTCCTATCAATCCTACCTTCCAGGTTTCAGTCTTTCCATCCCATGCATTTAATGTAGAACAGCAGCTTTGATGATCAAGAAAGAGTCTTATGTTTATCATAGCTGATATCTATTTACATTCAATTAACTATTTTGCTCAAGTTTTTTGGCCATTTTGCATGAAGGAATAGCTCAAACCACAAATATAAACTATTCACTTTGACTCAGAATGCTAGTTAGTTGAAACATTCAGGTCATAAAATCATTTGAATTTTACTAATCGATAACATGGGACTTTAATCATGATGAGGGGCTTGTATCAGTTTTATGCTTGTCATGATGTAATAGAAGCCTGAGTGAAGGCACATGAATACCATTGGTCCTTCAAATTCTTGGTGGAATCCTGAAAACAGAAGGAGGATTTCCTTCCAGAAACTATTATCATATCGAGTTCCTTTATACATCCTGTGCTTGAGCCCTGATTTCTTAGCAATTGCATGGTATTGTTAATGTTTGCTTCCTACAATTGAATCAAATGCTTAGTATGTTTAGCCACTGAATACAAGAGTATCATATAAATATATACATTTTTTTGTAATATTCTTGTAACTTTGACAGAGGTCAAAGTATTTCATGGCCTGGTGAAACAATGGCTACAAGATCTAAGGGATGACACGGAAGAGCCATTGCAGGCTCGGTTTATCTTTAATAGTAACCTTGCTGGTTCTTTGAAGCAGATATCCTGCAACTTATCTGCTTCTGTCAATCATATAATTGACGGATTCAACCCTTGTGAGGTATTGAATGTGTATCTTAATTTAGCTACTGTTTAGTGTATTTACTCATACATTATCAATGTTGATTGACCATTTCATTGAATTTTAGGAAACAAGATAGTTTTCTCAAGTTGAGAAAAATCTACCAATCTCCTATAGATATCCAAGCATTATATGTATTAACTATCTCAAGAAATCAAATGGCAAGCATGAATAGAAAGTCCTCTCCGTAACTGGAAAATCAACATATAAACATAGCTTACTCTTTTTCACCCTCAGTAATATTCTATGTAGGACTTAGTGCTTGGTGAGTCTGGATCTTATATTCTTTTGAGGATTCCTATATCTCTCTTTAATCATTATTTGTGCTTAATTGGTAAGTTTCGGCTTGTTACACCAATGCTATGGGCTGCTATTTCTTTTCTAATGATCTTTTGGACAACAATGAAAGGAAATAATCTTCTAAAGTAGTCAGACCTTCAAGTGAATCCATGCTAACTGCTTAGGATAAAGAAATTTTGTATAATCATAGTAAGTGGCAGCTTTGAAACTGGCAGAGTCAAGAATTTTTGACAGAAGAGGCTATTGTGTTCTTCCAGTAGTAATATTTAGAATTTCTGTCTATTGTCCATGCTTTCATGCCTATATGCATTGATACGTGCCACTCTTATTCTGCTCTCACATCCCTACAAGCATGATGCAAACTGCAGATACATATTCTTATGCGATTGTACCATATTTCATTTCCTCTTGAAAGCAGAACAATAATTTCAATAATCCTTGGATCGCCTCCCTATAGACATGTAGGTGCCATGGTGTTCCATTGTGCAATGCAGAAAAAAGTAGGATTGAAAGGCCTTCTTGCGCAGTCACTTTCCATGATCTTGGAGCATTTGATGTGATTGACAATTCTGTGAAGGTTGGCAAAAACACAGTCCTGTTTATGCCCTCTTTCCAGAGCTCTATGAAACTCCAACAGGTTTCTTCACCTGTTGACTTCAATATAATAGAGCGGACCAACCTGGGGTCTCTAAGCGAAGGTAAATCTCAAGAATGAAGCTCCATTTTTGACATCTTAGTGGAAATCTTTCAGTCATTGCATCTTTTAAAAGAAGTCTTTGTTAATAAATAATTTAAATTGCCAGACTACTGTTCCAGGCAATTTCCAGAAATATGAGAGCTGGATAAAAATGATTCTGCTAGTATTTTACTTGAACTTATGCCTTGGCTCATATTCTCCTTTATTTGCATTTTTCACAGGAGTTATATTTGGGAATCCCTATTTTGTAACTCCATCGGCTTCTCCAGAGATAGAAGCTGCTTCAGATGAAACGGATCAGTTAGAATTGAATTTTCAATGTGCGTGGAAGTCCTTTTGTTTGCTATTGTTTTGCATTGTGAACATTTACTGAGGCAGTTTATCTGGGATTTGTGACTTTGCCTTAATTGCAAATTTATCTCGATAATTCTGGTTATAAAAAATTGTGAGAAACTTCTGTAAAACTCTGAAACTGTTCTTCTTTTCTTTTCCTTTTCCTTTATTATTTCATTTTCCTAATCCTGCTATAATTTGTCAGTTTTCAAAGGGCTTTGCACTGCTTTACATTCATTGGACCAAGGCTTGGTATGCTCTTCAAATTGCAATATAGAAAATATGAGGGAGGCAACATTCCATTGCTATTACATTCTTCAACCTTCAGATAATGGGCCAATGCTTCTCAGGGTGAATATTGTGTTGCTTTATTATTAGCTAATGGTCTATACATTCATTGCTAAATAATATTTGCAGTCCACTGTCTTCATTGTAATCCACCTAACCTTCAGAATGTTTTAGTGCTTCTACTTTGGATACAAATTTTCTCAGTGATGGAGTTAAGCTCTGTTGGTAAATCTGTATTGTTTGATTGTATTAAAACATGCAGCGCCTTGCAGGATCAGAGGAAGTCTTGCCCTTTTCTGATGTCAATCGATTCATTGATCATTCAGTGCCTAAAGATATTGAGATTTCCATTCAATCCTCCTTATTCAAGGTTAAAAGTTTTTCCTTGTAGTTTCTTTCACTATCTACATTGTTATTTTTGTTTACTTTCACATTTGTTCAAAATCAATGTTCTTTTTTTCAGCTCCAGCTTGTCCTTTTAACACCCTTCTTACAATAAGGAATTATTATATCATTCTTTTAAAAACTTGTGTATATCATCCAGATTTTGCATTGTATGTTGCAATTGGTTGCAAGGGGCTGAAAGCTGTATAAATTAACTAACTGCATTATCAGATATGAAAATATTATTTTTACCTATTGAGTCATGCCACTTGGTCTTGGTATAGAAGCTAAATTACTGTCAATGCATTATGGGCTTAGGCTGCACTCATAGATGTTTTAGCCAGAAAAGCCACATAGTTTTCTCCCAGAAGATATCTCAGTTAGTCTTACTTTTTCCTGGTTAATATTGATGGCTGGCAAGTTCATATTTGCTTTAATTTCATTCTTTATGAATTTCTGGCAGTTGGACTCAAGAGACTACAATCCAGTCCTGTATGAAAGAGGTTTCCATCAAAAACTTAACTTGCTTGTAAAAGAGAGCTTACAAATCGGGTAACTATACTCACCATCTGCTTCCAACTTTCCAAATGCAAACCCATTAAAAACAATTTAATGTACATGCTTTTTTTCTCCATTTTGTGAAGTCAATAAATCTTTTCTGACAACCCCAGAGTTGAAGATTAGTTATCAAGGCCTATTAATGGCTAAAGATCTTTTCTGCAAACATCTCAGATCATAAAGTTCAGAAAGAATAAAGTCATACGTTGGTATGGTTTTGTTAACAAGTAGATGAAAAAGAGGTAGGATTGTTAACAGACTCAGAAAAGTGGGATTTTCTGTCCTTTTTTCTAAACTTATTCATAGATTAGTCGAATTCTTACCTCTTGTCATCTATAAGTAATGAATCCAGTCTATATCCATTAAGTTGTGAAGTGATATCAATTTAAAGATAGCTGATTGCCATATATACATAAGCACATTATCACATTATTTAAATTTTAGTTGATCTCTATTTTAGAGCATTGTATAAGTATCTAGGATTTCATAATATATTGCAATATGCTATTTCTCATAACCTGGCTGCATTTTCATCACCCCCATTGTAGATCAGCCTTCTGCCTGGGATGCTACTTGAAATACACGAAAGTTATTTTTTGAGTATGTTTGTATTGCAGACTGCTGTTGTTATTGGATTATTCCAATCGTTGATTTATTATTTACATTTTAAGTCCATAAAATGAACTGATTCCTTCAGTTTCATGAGTTTAAAACTCAGCGTTTTGGACTCATCATGTCAGCATCGACGTGCAGACTGAATGGTAAATGCTGAATGCCTTTTTGATATTTGCTTCCTTGATGACATGAATAATATATTCCAGGTCTGTACCTCCTAATACGAATGAGGCAACATCTGAACTATACACAACCAAACCTGACCCCACCAAAGTGATTGCAAAATCAACTTCATCAGATGATGTCGTGGTTGTCAATGAGGAAATGTCACAGCTAGATCAGTTAGCCGGAGAAGAAAAAACCACAGCTTCTATTGATGAAGAATGGGAGCGACTGGTTGTCCATGAAGTCCCTGTGAAAAATTCTCCCACTTGTATAGATAAACCCAAGTCAGGTCAATCAGTTCTACTTCTATCCCCACCAGACAACAGCAGGCAGCTAGATATAACTACGACAAGGATTCTAGAGAGGCTGGAGGTGCCAAGACAGTTAAAGTCAAATGCAGTCTCCCCCAGCATCAACAGCAGCAGAACTGTAGATGTAAACAGGCGAATGAAAAAACCTCTAATCCCTTTCCAGCCCAATCAGGCTGCGGATCAAGGCTTGACTTCAAGCCAATTAATCAGGCCCAGCTTCCAGAGGCTAAAACGGAAACATAAATGAAACTTCAGGACACCTCTCTTTAAAGGACTTTCTTTTCTTTTAATTGTTAACAGTCAAATCCAACTTTTCGTTCCATTGATCGAATACCTGTCAGGGTAAATAAATCAGAACATAATGGGCAAAGCTTGGGAAACCCATTTTTCTTTAACTGCACACGGTAACAAAATTCTTTCGCTGTTTATGCCAGTCTGCACTTACTGTATGATTCCAATCAGAAGTTAAATAATTGTTAGGATTGGATTTGGACCACATTAATTGGCACACAAAATATAGGTGGGCAAAGCATGACTTTTCAGTCACGCAACTCACACTTGCGTATCTCTCATCCAACTTCAAAATCTCTTGGGTGCGATGCCACCAAATCTCAATCAACCAACGCACTATCCTTCTTTGCCTCAATTATTTACCAAATTTTATATTGATATTTTCTTTTTTTGTGCAGAAAATTTTGATACATAAAATAAAAATTATATGTAATTACAAAAAAAAAAAGGAACATATTATAAGTGGTCAACAAGAGGGGAGCGAAGATCTTTGTACAATTGAGACAGTGGGATCAAGGTGGATGGATGGAACTGTCTCTGGCTGAGCTTCGAAAGGCTTGCTTTTTTAGCTCCTCCTTATCCGATTGTTGGATTAAAAATTCTCTTTATGGAAATCAAACTTGGTGGACGTCTTGTGGGAGAAATCTGATGCTAGCTGGCCTAGCTCTTTGGTCAAAGCCGGTGCCCCACAATAAAACACCCCTGCCATTCCAGAACAATTTGTTAGCTCATTAATTTATAATCATGAAAAGCACTAAGGCTTTTTAATTTCCTTTTTCTTAAATAAAGATATCAATATTGTCTGTCACTGTTTTTGCTCTATTCCTATGTGAACGTAAGAAGGTTTGTAATAATAATTACTTGATATAAATGTGGAAATTTTCATCTTATAAATAATTGCTGTCACTATTATCATCATTGTCATAAGCAAAAGCACACACTAGCTAATAGTATCCTTTTCTTCTTTTTCTACGTAAGTGATGAGCAAATAAAGAAAGCTTGGAAACGTTGCTTTCCTGAATGTTAAAGCTAAGAAGATAATGGAATACTTAAAGTTAACAGGAACATGTGCAATTCTTCTCTAACTCAAAATATTTTAGTGATTTTTTTAATGTAAAAGCTTTTTTTATTGAATGGATTAGAGTCCGAATTCTATAATTAAATGTCATATGTTGAATATATAGTTTTATAGAGAAAATTAAAAATAATAACAAAAAAAGGGGTAGTTCAGTGTACATACCAACTCGAGTATTGTTGTGATTAACGGCAATTTGCTTGTAGACATTGCGCCAATTAGGCTTGGCGAAGTGGGATTTCACTCTTGTACCAGAAACAACGTCGACGCCATTTTTAGCATGATTGAGAGACTGAAGCATGGCAATGAGAGCAGAGCGAGCATCACCTTCTTCATAAACGCTGGTGCAGTAATTGTGGAGCTCGATCACGTGGTTGTGGTCCATTTCAGCTACCTCATTCATTATTCCTTTAAACCAATCAAAGGAGCCTTGTTCCCTTGTCACCCAGTAAAAGTATGCTCTCCTTGTCTTGAAGCTTTCTTTTCTTTTGGAATTGGGAGGACTCGTTTTGTTAACGCCAACCCCATTTCCATTCTCCAGGGCACTTTCTTCCTCCTCCCTGGCCCTGATATTGTTCACTATGTCCTTGACGATGCTGATCATTGGGGTTGCTCCAATCCCCAACCCCACTAGCAAAACCACTTCATATTTCTTGTAGTCTTGTGCTGGTGCTCCATACGGGCCATCGATTAGAACTCTTGGGAAACTGTTTCAACGCCAATCCCATTGAAGAGTATATCGTTAGCACATCATTTGTCAAATGAAATACACTTTTTATCATAAAAGTAAATACAGCATAATCTCTGAAGGAATCTACAACTAAACGTGGAAATGACTTTTTGAACTTTTCTTTTTTGTTTTGTTGGGGCATCCTCGTCCCTGACGTCCATCAAGGAAGGTAGGGTAACATTCTTGTTATAGGTTCTAAGCAGACAGGGACCCTGTTACCAATTTCTTTCATTAGCGTGTTTGTATTTGTCGGTCGGGGTTTGAAACAAGTAATCTAAGTTCATGCACCAATATTTTGAAATTATTGTTTGTAACCATCTGAGCAACCCAATCCTCTATGGCCTGACAGCCACAACATAGTAGCACTAGAAAGATAAATTCCTCCTTATTTTCAAGATCTTGATGCTCTGGTTTTTGTCTTCTTGCTTAGAGACGACAGACATAAAACTAATTTATATTCAATGAAATATAGGAATGATTTATAATTTCAATGACCTAGGCCTTAGGAGATAGCGTATGGCACCACATGGCAAGGAGAAATGACAAACAAAGAAAATGACATTTCTATAGCAGCCAATGGCACTAACCATGGTCACCATTTCCTAGTCCAAAATATTGCAATTAAACATAAAGATAAAGATAAAACTTGAAAAAAAAAAGCCACTTTAATTATTGACTCGCTGGACCATATGATTAAGTTGACGTTTTGAATAAATATCTTGAATTGATGGTTAATTTCCTCGCTAGAAAAAGATGGAACTCCTAAAGTGTCCATGCTGCAAATATATAGGAAATATCATCTAGCATGATGAAATGGAGGGCCAGGTCGGTTCTGATGGTAAAGATGAATTATTTCCTACTAGCATTAATTGCCTTGATATCTTTGGTACATCTTTTATGCTGTCAGACAAGAGACTGCCAATCACATCTCTCCTCTTTGTATATTTGCAATTTCATCACTTAGGAACTACTAGTGTATTTTATATGTGTCTAAGCGTATAAACAACGCGTAAAATATATGAACAACTACTAAAAAGAATCATAAGTTGGTGTCATGATGCTCTATATATATAAGAAGCAGAACAAAGAGTTGTATACACAACTCTCATTTAATTAAATTAACAGAGTTTGACTAAGGGAAGTGCCTGTCACGTACGCAGCACGAACCCCTAATTAAGCCTAGAGATCCAAGAGGGATTCCTGTCGACATATGCATTAAATTGCTAGTGTTTTTTTGTGGCTTTGGAAAGGGAGAGGAGAAAATGTTAATAACTTACTCTGGGTTGTAATCGGCTCTGAGCATGCCACTTTTTCCATTAGTCGGTTGTTGACAAACCTGGAAGAACAAATGGAGCGTAAATCCCGGTAGCCTTAACACATTTCCATGATTAAAATCTTAGGGGTAGTTATGATTTATTAACTATTGTTAGCTAATTATACGATGGTTGGGCCGTCAATTTTGAAAAACGGGAAAACCAGGTGTGGAAAATTAGAGAAAGTATATGCACCAAATTAATGAATCAAGGACGGTAGGAGAACTCACCTCTGAAAATACGGTCCTCAGTTGTCGCGTCCAGTCACCAAGAGTCCTGATATGAACACTGAGATAGTCATCTCCGGGGGCGGAAGTAATGGAAAATGGGTGCCTGTTCCATGTGAGCAATCATTATCATGTCAAAGAAGGCTTTGTTTTGTTTTGTTAGTGGAGTTGACAAGACAAATAAGTCAGGGTTAAAAGACAATGACAGTTCTGTCGGATCCCCATTCGTAAAGCCAACACTTACCATTCAAATGGAGACACCGCAGCACAATTGACAAACATGTATTGTCCACTCTTGTATCTAAATCCATTGGGCCTTGACATGTGAAGTGCGAGTACATTTCCCGGATAAACGGCAACCTAACAATTTCGAGGACAGGTTAGAAATCTGGATGAATTGCATATTTGTCATTTTAGTAGTGTTTGGTCATATGTCACAGGGCCTAACCTTCTGTATGGTAACGGGCTTGATGCTTGATCTAAGCAGCCTCGTCAATCTTTCACACAAATAAAGGGTAACTGGAACTGCCAAGTACATCCAGGTCTGCCAAATTAAAAAAAAAAATTGAGATTTCATTAAATAATTACCACAACTGAATATCAGGAATTTGAAGTGATCATTGCTTACCGTTTTCTTGTACCATTTCTGGGTCAGGAAGAGCTTAATTCCATGCACAATGAGGAGTGTGTAAACAATGACAAATAGATGGTGAGAGTACCAGAAGGCATTGAATCCAGTGAGCTTCTTCAGAGGCTTGGGAAGGTCCAGCCTACCCCGCCTGAAGCAAGGCGCAGCTAGAGTGAAAGCTATGGCCATTAACACCACCATTACGATCCCGGTAACTCCTTCTGGGTGCTTCACAAAATGCCAGTAGCTCTCGGGTTGATTTCCAAAATATTTTATCATGGGCTTGTACTCATCAGGAGTGGCATGAAGCAGGCGGGGGAAATCACATGCCAAATGGGAAATGGCGTGTATCCCGACCCCAATAGAAATTGCAACTGCTATCACCTGAAATGAAATAACCAATAAACCCCCATTGATTTAGCTTATAATTTGAACATATATGCAATCCTTGGCTAAGAAAAACATAAGCAGAAGACATGTTCTGTTGTCTGTTACCTTGTGGAAGTTGAGGTTGTCATCAAAGGGAACGGCAGCACCTAATTTTGTCTTGTTCCTTAACCAGGTGATGGTGTTACGGCAGACTGGTAGCAAAATCAGGGCCATATTCAATTTAAGTGTCTCAGCTGCACCTTTGGCAAAGCAAACGCAATGCCCCATTACCTTAAAAACGTCTTCTCTTCTTCGATATTCGATGTATTTGTATGTAAATAGGCCACACATAACCCCAATCCACAAAGCCATCACCCACACCCTCTGCCAGTTATCTTGCAAGAAATACTTGGTGTCCCGGAAGAATCTCGTCACTGGGTTGCTATCATATGTAGGCTTAAGCTTCTGGCTTAGCATTTGGCTCAGGTTCCGGCTTTCTCCTCTAACAGATTGGTTTGGTGCTTGTAGCAGAAGCATTTCCAGGTTGTTTATCTGTTAAAAGAATAAGAATTGTAGTAAATTGGTAATCCAATTGAAGCCAAAGCTTTAACATAAAAGCCAGCAAAAAGAGTAAGAAAATGCTTGAATATACCATGATGTATCCTAGATGGTCTGGGTCTAATTCTTCCATAATCAAGGCTGCATATTCCTCAGCTTGTTTCTGGATATTTGAGAGTTTGTTTGCAGAGGCACTCAGGCTGATAATCTGTAAAAGGACATCAACTATGAGATATAAATTATCACAAAAAATTGTCTGAGAATATCTGACACGAAGCACATGCTTGATCACTCAAACAACAAATCAAAATTACTCAAACACCTGAAATTAAGAAATACATCATAGTCAACTTCTGTCCATTTACAAATTAATTTTAGTAGCTGAAATTAACATGCCATACCTCTCTGACTTCCTCTTCAGTTATTCTTCCATCGGCATCTTTATCCACCCTGCATTTTGTTAACCACTTGATTTAAGACCAAGCTCTAATAAAAGGCAATGCAAAGTGTATAGCTTATTGATGGACAATGGATCTAAGAAAGGGTGAAAAAAGGAAAACGGAAACTTTACATCTCAAAGAAAGTTTGAAGCCTGGCATCGAAGCTTTGATTCGAGATCTGATCCCAAAACTCTTTTAGGTGAGCCTTATTAATTGCATCACCTTCAATGTTTCGTTTTCGAGCAAGTGCATCAAACAGCTGCCCTGCAAACTCCTTTGACTCCATGCCTGCCATTACATCAAATTCACAAAAATCTCACGGAATTGAAACATCTGCAACTATTTTCTGCAAAAGCCAGTTATAGATTTCAAATACTATCCAAACATACCTATGCATTCACCAAAGCGTGCACGAGGCAAAGCACCATTATTAGATGCAGTAATTTCATCAAACCGCTTCTCCACAGCAGCCCATCCATGCCCAGCATCAGTCTTGGTAATAAACTTGAGTCCCTTCAGAGCATGAGCAGCTGCAGACTTGGTCCTATCAAAGCGAGCAGGCTTCTTGGAGAACGATGTCAAGCGCTTCAGTTCATGCCCGACCTGCCTAATCTTTGCCGAAGCATTCCTCACCATCGACGCTCCCACGGTTGATCTCTTCTCAAGACCTTTGGCCAACAAGGATAGCTCAGGATCTTCCTGCAAATCAGCTCCATTTGCAGCCTTTACACTGTGAACCGCCACGGAGTCATCACGAACATCTAGGGTAATCTCAACGTAACCATCATCTTTAGAAGAGGTTGAGTCCGGAACGTTAAACCGGGCACTTTTCCTTCCTGCCCTTTTGTTCAGAGGTCCGCTCAATGGACCGCTATGAGGCACTTTATCGTTTGCTAAAACCTCTGTATCAGAATGATGGTGGTGATGCTGGTAACGATTCCCGTCCTCCGCACTCATTTTCTGCATGTGGTTTGATTCCAATTCTCCAAGATAATACCTTCCAAGCTAGCAATAAGCCTATAACAAAGATTCCTTACAATGCAAACAGATTGAAAGATAGAAGAAAACAAAGGCAATATATAACAGTTCTTTCCTTGGCCTGTTCTAAAAAATATATATATCTTTGTTTTCTTAGACTAGATTTCTCTCTGCAAGTTTAAGAGCAACCGCGTTTTGTCCATATATATAGAGCTCAGGTAAAATCTTCAACGAGGTGGAGAAATGAAAGTTTGACCAGGCACTGGTTGTGTTCCTTAATGACTGTTAGACGCGTGCGTCATTACCATTCGGCAATGGTCCTCCATATGCTTGAAAAACCAGCTAAAATCGACTCCATAAACTTTTTTGGTACTAACACTGTTACTTTATTACCATGGGGAACTGCTTTGAAGTTTCCCATTCTCGCTTTTCTTCCATGTGCATCATGCAACCTACTCTTTTCCCCTTTATTTTTTTTCCCTCCCCTAGAGTTCAGATAAGCTTTAATGGCTTTACTTGCTTTGCCTGACTTTCTCTGAAAGTTAATTAATGGGAAACTACCATGAGGAGACATGTTGAAATATGTTGGATTTATGGTCAGATGCGCCTACTAGCTGTCCCTGGACCCTGATCTTTTCTTTAACTTTCATTGAAAGTGATTACCATATTGCTGTGAAAGCAGCCAGCCAATGTGTTTATGGGTTGGATGATTGTTGACATGATGTAACAAAAAGTTAGAGATTATCACAGAAAAAAAGGAGTTGCAGATTTTGATAATTAGTCTCATAAAAAATCAACTATATGTATGCTACGGCAAGGCATAAATCTATACGTTTCTTGGGGTTTTCATTATTAGTACGTATAGATGTTGCCTTCAGGATTCTAGCTCTTTCAAGCTAATTAATTAATCTTTTCGACTTTAATAGCATAAGATTCCTGACATAATCATTAATTTCATATTTAAATACCGTATTTATCTTCATGGGGTATTAAGGATTTGTTGATGGTGGCAGGACTAAGTTTGAATCTGATAGTCAAAGGTTGGGAACTCAATGATTTAGATACTCCGGTTTTTATAAATGTCTTTCGAAATATATCATTATCAGGGCAACAGCAGTTAAATTTCAGTAATTATTACACCCTTCATGATCATTAAAATATTAATTATAATGGTCCAACATTTTGTTTTCGCAAAAGACACCAATGAATCCTAACAAAATGGGTATTTTGTCTTCTATTCTATAGTCTGTATCATGTATTTTGACTTTAATTTGGATGTAGGTGAGAATCTATGTATACAGATTACCTTGGGTATATGGAAATTGGAAGCAAGACTTTTCACCATTTCTTTTGCATTTGCTTTCTTTTTTGCCATTGTCGTGTGAATTTCCAATAAAAAATACTGTTTGGTTCTATCCAAAAAAAAAGAGAGAGGCAAAAACAGTGCTGTTAGCGTTAGGTGAAGCACCACCACCATGGTGTCAATGACCTTAATTAGCATTACAAATATAAATTCAATATTTAACAGAACCTAAGCTCTAAAGTTGATAACAGATTAACAGCTGAGAGGTTGAGTGGACTTTAACGAAAGATGGAAGAAGGAAGATGCAGGCCGCCCGCCCTGATCCCTATTAAGTTGGGTAGATATATATATGATTTAGCCTTTTGATTTTGAAATTTAAATAGTACTGACCAGCTGACTCTTCCACCTTCTGGGAACCCCGCAGCAGCAAGCTGGCAACACGAGCTGAACCAAAGGCAGTCGTGCAGAAATGTAGGGTACACCAAGCCGGGGGGAAATTGCCTCTCTCTCCATTAACCATGTATGCACTTTGCCTAAAGGGGTAGTGAAGTTTGACCATCTGGATGAATATTTGTATTTACATGTCTATGTCTCGTAATACTTCCTTTAGTTATGCACGAAATTTACATGACATGATTACCGTTTAAATGCGGTCCAAATTAATTAAAAGGAACTGACGATGAATACCAACTTTTTTCTGGGGTTTTTTTTTAATTTTTTAATGTAACAGATAGTGCATCAGGAAGTAAGCGACAAAAACAAAAAGGTTGAATAAGCCAGAGTAAACATTTGGATGATTTTATATGCACAACTTGGATAATCTTTCTTTATATAATTGGCCAACAAATTAAATTGTGCATATACATACAGAAAGAAGACAAGTTGAACTATAATAAGCATCAAATGGACACTTTAAAAAAAAATTACGTTTATTTAAAAAGAAAAAAAAATCCTTTTTGATCACGATTAAAAGGCCTCATTACTTCCTTTTCTCTTGTTAATATGCTCCACATTAATTAATTATTAGAAGACTTAATGATGGGCTATGTTCACATTCTCTTACTTAAAGGCCAACAATTTTGCATTAAAAAATAATACAAAAAGCCTCCCTTCTTTTTTCATTTATTTTTTTAATTAATACTGGAGATATTGTCTCATTGAAAACTCAGTTCATTTAATACAAATAATAATAGGATTTTAAAAAGCAATTACACTTTCCTTCTCTAATTCCGCTTGTCCCTCGAGAGTGGGCACAGAAATCGAAAAAACTGAAAACTAATTTGGATAGTAATAATACGCCATTTGATTTGGACATGAATAATAAAAATATCAACTCGGTTTAGTACACTTTTGGTTCATAAAAGTGAAAATTTGAAATTATTTGAATTAAATCTATTTTTAAAATAATTTTTATTTTCTTTTATTTTTTATAAATAAAAAAGCTTATTTTATTTTAAAATTTAAGTAAAAGAATTAAAAATAATATATAAAACTATTAAATCTTTAAAATTTTAAAAAAAAAATCAAATCCGTCTGAAGTGTTGATTTTTTTTTAATCAAAACCGTTCGATTAATTTTTAGAAAGAAATCATATTATAAAGATAATTAAAAGTATTATTATAATATTTAAACATTTGATTTAATAGTTGATATATAATTTTTTATTTAAATTGTTGGAGTTGGAATTTTTTTTTCAAAATAAAAAAAACATAATTATAATTGATTTTTATATAAAAAATTATTAAATTTGTAAATATCAAATTAATTTAAATAAACTACATTATTATTCAATAGAATAAAACTTTTATGTAGTGTTTATTGGATTTTAATTAAAAAATTTATCCCAAAGTCCAGACTAAAACTCTGGGCTTTGAGCCCTTGGATAGCTCTCAACCCAAATAATGAAGGCTGACTGTCATATTCCAACACCCAAAAGCCCCCCGGAAATCTCAAGCATATAATTAGGAGGGAAAATTAACTGTCATTTCCCACATACGGGAACAAGGGTTTCAGTTCCTCCTTTTTCCCTCTCAAATTTCTCTTCCATTTTTCCCCAATTTTTGTTCAATTCACAGTCCAATTCTTTTATTCATAATTATTACAAATCAATTATTTTTTTCTAATTATTCTTATGAAAGACTCAGTTTTTTCTTTCCCGAACAAAAATAAGAAGAGAACCGAAGAGAATCTCCATTTCCCTCGCAAAAAACCAAAAACCCTTAATAAATCAGCATTCGTCGAACTCAAGAGCTTCGATCTCCCTCTGGTTTCTGCCACCACCGGTTCACCTATCTGCTCGCTCCTCCTCGAGTCGGACCGGCCCTACATCTTCGGTCGAGCCAACTCTTCCTGCGACTTCAAGTTCGACAGTCGGTTCGTAAGTAAACAGCATTGCCAGATATTATATGATAGCGTTGACCGTAAAATATTTATTCTCGATGGAACAATTTTGTTGGATGGTCTTCGTTTTTGTGTTAGTGAATTTAGGAGAAGAATTGTGTTGTCTGACGATGAACTGGAAGATAAAGAGAAAGAGAAAGAGATTTTAGGGTTTTCTAGGGTTCGGGTTTCTTTGAATGGGGTTTATGTGAATGGGGTTAGGGTCAAAAGGGGTATGGTTAGGGAATTATTTGCTGGTGATGAGGTTTTGCTTGTCTGTGGGAATGAAAGTGAGTGTAGTTTAAGGGTACGAGTCGGGTTTATGATTCAAGGGATTGTGTTTAAGGAGGAAGTGGTTTCTGATTTGGATGAGGTGCCTGGTGTTAGGCCGCTCTTGCTTGGGGCAATGGCTTCATCAAGACATTCCCAAGGAACAGTGTCCAGTGGGAAGAGGAACAAAAGGGTTTTTGCTATCTCAAGTAATGAGATGACCATAGGTTGTGACTTATCTGGATTTAAATCTAGAGATGTAATGGGGAGAGCCAAGTTTATTTTAAGTCAGTGCTGTAGTATATTGCACAGTGATGACCCCATCTCTTGCATTAGGCAATGTGATATTTCAGATTCTGGACGCAACAGATTTCTGGGGTTGACATTAAGTGATAGGATGGAATTTGCAATTGGCAGAGAAGAGGAGGTGGGTAGCATCTTCCCTCTTTGCAGGCAACAATCATCTGATAAGAAGGACAGCCCTGTGCAGCCTAATTCATTTAAAACTATGGCGACTTCAGAGGCAAACCACAGCTTAATTGGTGATCTTTTACCAAGTGACCTTCCATGTGGAGAAGGCACCGTTGAAGGCTGTGGTGAGGATGCTACTGCCAATTACAGGCCTGGGATGTCATCATTGAACTGTGCTGAGAAGGAAAATGCTCCTGAGATTGATGGTGTTGGTACAAGCAAGACTTTTACGACCTCTTGTTCAGCACCTGGGAAGATGTTTTACCTCAATCGCCTTGCTTATTTGGACTGTGGTTCATCAAATCATCATACTCTTGTTTCCTTGCAAGAACTTCTATATCCTGTTGAAAGCATTTCAAAGATATTCATTGCTACGTTTACAAGTGACATTTTATGGTAAAGTTGTCCCTTCTCTTTTACTTTCCTGACTAAATAGTCTCCCCTGATGAGTGCCTTTAGAGGATTCCTGTTTATAAGTCAGTTAGAGCTGCTACAACTACATGATTTTCTGTAGAAAGCATTACATGATTGCTTTTGCATCTTACATGTATTTATTACTATGGCGAAAAAACTTGGCTAACTTTGTTTTGCATTACCATTTTGATAAATTTCTTTATGTATATCTTTCCTTTCATATTATTGCAATTCTACCTACTTTTAATCATAATTTCTGCATCCACATCTAATGGAGTCTTTTTCGTAGGTTTTTATCACACTGTGAAATTCCTTGCCATCTGCCTGTAACAGTTGCATGTCATAATGCTGAGAGATGTTGGAGCGCATGCCCTGATGCAAGAAGCTCCATGCCTTTCCCTGATTTTCCGAACTTGGTTGTAGTGTAAGTAGTTTACTTAATCGATTATATTAGAAGGTATATGGACTAATATAGAAATTAACTTTTTTGTCTAATATATATTTTTTGTGTCAGGTTTCCCCCATTCCCTGAGGTTATTGCTTTTGGTAATGACCGCAAGAAACGAGGCATCGCTTGCCACCACCCAAAATTGCTTGTATTGCAAAGAGAGGATAGTATCCGTGTTGTCATTACTTCTGCTAATTTAGTTGCAAAACAGGTGATTGATTTTTCATGTCTTGTGATTTGTTTTTTAACTATGTTTTTGCTAGATATGAATTAACATGTGGCTGATTGGTGCAGACATAAGTTTTGAATTTCATAATTTGATTACCTCAATGTTTTTTTAAATCAGATTTCCATATCTTGATGTTCTAAACAGTGGTATTTGATTTGGTATCTCCTTTTATGCTGATGGAGCCTCTCTGTTCCTCAACTTTTTTCTCCATGCATGCATGTCTTGCGTATATGTGTTTCCTGTCATCCAAATACCAAATTTCGCACAAATTACCTAATTGCTGGAGTTTGCTGAGGCAATTGGAACTTTTAGTCAGTATCCCTTGTTAGTCTTTATTGTTTGCAATAACCTTTTGGCCAAACAGATTTCCTCTTTTTCTAAGAATCGGATGGATTTCAAGTTGTGGGTTTAATTTGCTCTCGGCTATCTAGTCTATTGCCTGAAGAATGTTTATGTTTGATTTATCTATCAAAATGCTGGCTGTTCTTTATTTGTTTTTTTGTACTGAAAAATGCTAGCTGTTCAATTATGTTATATTGTTCTTGTTTAGTTCATGTATTTTTTCTTATAAAAACTGCAGTGGGAGAGTGTGACAAACACTGTTTGGTGGCAAGATTTTCCTCTCAGAAGTGAATCTGATTATTTGTCTCTTTTTTCATTTTCTTATGGAGAAATGAGTCAAGATTCAAGATCTGACTTTGCTGCTCAACTAGCTGGCTTTATGGCATCTCTTATTGTTGATGTACCTAGTCAGGCTCATTGGATTGTTGAGTTGACTAAGTATGACTTTACCAGTGCTGAAGGACACCTGGTTGCTTCTATACCTGGAATACATTCTGACAGAATACTGAAGGTATCATAATCTGCACATTTCATTCTAATTATACTTCCATCTCTGATCCATATGCTAAGCTGGTTCACTGTTTTCGTTTTTGTTCTGACCATTTCCTCATATAATAAATGAATTGGAATAAGTAGCATTTAGAAAGTATTGCACAATCTTAATATGGAGATGAGTTTTTTGGTTTTTTACATGTGTTTTATGTTAGGTTTGCCAATAGGAAGGAATCTTATTAAGTTTGTCTATCATTTCAGTCTAATCAGTTTTCAACCTCATCATTTGATGTGAAGTTTCTTGGTCTGGTTGAAGCATCTGTGGTTGGTTTAAGCCACCTTTTCCGAACTGCAGCAGACACAAATGCTGCACTACTTAAGAAACTGGCTTTATTTCTTGGCAAAACTTGTGAAAATGAATATGGGATGTTGGATGTTGTTCTGAGAAGAAACACAAATATCCCTGCAGATGAGAATGCTGTGAGTGTTCTTGTTCCTAACCCTGATGAGCTCTCTGAAAGAGGTAAAATTTTTATAACTTGATTTGGAATTAGACACTTTTACAAGTTGATAATATGTGCATTTGATATTGTCTTAAAATGGTGGATGGTTCAGTAGTTCCATCACGTAGTGACTGGAAAAAGAACCAAAAACTAGCAAACGTGACTGCTACATATGTGGGATCATCTTTGTTTATTAGAAACCTTATGGAATTGGAAGTTTTGTTGCAGACATTTCCCTTCTTTACTGAGATTTGGTATTCCTGTCAACTTTGAGTTTCTTCCTGGTGAAGCATTTTAGTGGACATCGTAATGGGTTTTGTAAAACTGTTGTTATGGTTTAAGGTTAAGGACCCATTGATATTGATGCCCTTTTCCCTTTAATAGATAATATCTTATAAGTTGGAACTCTTCTTGCTTTTAGCTACAATGACAATCATGTTTTTCCTTTTTTTGCTAGCATAGATTGCATTCAACTTGGTTTTCTTCCTAGAAATGTCGCTAAATGGGTTTCTCCATTATGGGATATGGGATTCTTTGAATTCCATGGATATGTGTATCGCGAAGAAGCCCTTACAGCTACTTTTGGGGGAAACACCAAGAAAGTACAGTTGGTACTGCATGTGTTACAGGCAGGTATTCCTGCTATTTAGTTGATACGTTTTGATGTTATTCAGCTTGTGGCTAATCATTAAATGTTGTCTGTTCGGATTTTTAGTGAACCTATTTAATGCATATAATGTGTTGATTTGTGCAGGGACCAAGGTTTTTTGATTTGTCAAAACTGATGCAGGCTCAGAATATTGTTGCATTATGCTCTCTCATTGCTTCAGTTCAGAGGTGTACCGGCCTCTGGCGACTTCAGGAGGTAAGGAAATGATTGACTTCAATTATTTTAGTCATGTTTCTATGAATTTTATTTTTGCATTATTTTGGTACTAGACTGCCAGTGTTAATTATATATCATAATGTGTTATTATTGCAAAGTCTATTTATCATAATTACGGTTTCATGCTGTTTACTGTATGTTAAAATCACAAAAATGACTGCTAGCTTTTTTTAGAGGTTCTCAAAAATCTTCAAGTCCCAGTTGATAATTTTGACCTTCTAAATATAGGTTTGTATAATCAGTTTATTCAAGCATATTTTTTATTAGACATGGCCTAGCAGGGCATTTGAGAGCCATCTCTAGGTTTGTAAGGGGTTGGAATCTGTAGCAACATGATTTCATGGGATTGTTGAATCTGCTTTTGTGGTTAGTGTCTGAAACAAAAAAGTTTCGTGCATTTTGGTTGATTAGTAATTGAAACAATTAATCGTCAAAGTGTACCTATATCATGTTACATTACTTATAAGGATCTGATTATTTTCTGAAAATCTCCTTTTGCATTCTATAGGTTTTACGTCGCTACAAGTGGCCTGAATCACAAGAATCTGATTTCATTTATGGTGAGCGTTTTATCTTTAAACTTTGATGTTAGCCACTTAGTTTTCTTATTAGTTTTGTCTGATATATGTTCTGTTTACAAGGTGCATCCTCAATTGGCTCATCTGTCAGTGCACAGTTTCTAGCTGCTTTTGCAGCATCTGTAGGAAAGAAGTCATCACAAATTTTTGATTCAGAGGAGTCTGATCCAGAGGTAACATACAAACTTTGATTTGGCAGTATGTATAAAATGTTGAACATCATGTTTTTATATTTATTAGTATTGTGCAAATACCTGTTTTTATTTATTTTTAAATTATAATTATATAAAAAATGGAAATGTTTTTAAAGCATAAAGCTAATTGTTTATAAATAAAAGACAGTTATATATAAAAGACAATTGATGTTTCAATTATATATAATTAAAATTTTTAAAAAATGAATCTATAAATTATTCAATACCATTAGAATTAAGAAAAACATATTTTGATATAAAAGTCAATGAATGCAATTAGAATTAAGAAAAACATATTTTGATATAAAAGTCATTGAATGCAATTACAATTCTTATTTATAAATCGGATAAATCTTATTAATATTTATAATTAAAGTCATTCAATACAGTTAGAATTCTTACATATTTAAAAATTAGTTAAGTCTTATTAATATTAATAATAAAAGTTTTTCAAAATGGCAAATGTAGAAATATAATGGATAAATGTGACTATTTTCGTCAATCAAAAAGTTTTCTGACATCTGTACTTTTATTATATGTATTAGATATATACATATATAGAGTAATACGGTGTTGCTTGACAGTGGGGCTGCTGGACTGCTAGTCAAGAAGTGAGAAATCCATCCATTAAAATTCTTTTTCCTACTATTGAGCGGGTGAAAAATGCATGTAATGGCATCTCTCCTGCAAGGAAAATTCTTTGCTTTTCAGAGGTAAGGTCTCTGTTACTCTTGACTCTTGACTTACTCCTATCTTATATGTTCAGATGCATTGAACACCTCAACGGGCATGGGTTTGACTCTTAAACCCTCCAGCAGGAATGAACAACTTGCAAAAAGTTTAACCTAGTCCCGCTGGATTTGACATGTTTGACTCTTGTTCCCCCCAAGATAAAGAAAACCGCTATAAGATTTAATATACTCCTGTCTGATGCTCTGTGTCTGACAACCACACTGGAGTCCAGAGAACATCGGTAATGTTATTTGCTTGAAATAATAACTTATGACTGAATACTGAAACCGGTATGTTCAAGAAAAAAAATATAAGATGTATCTCTGATATGGATCACATTTTCAGTGCATTGTACTGCATTTGGATGATATTTAACTTTCATGCTCTGTTTGACTATTTTGCGACTTTTTAAGGTGAGGCTTCAACATTTTCTTGGAGTGTATTGAATAAAATTCAAAAAACAACAAAGCGGTCAGAGTTCTGTTCCATTTGGATGCATGTGTCAATTCTCTTGCAAATTCACATCAATCATGCCTTTTGAGGGTTACTGTGGCATTTATAATATGTGAAATTTTTTGACACTTTTTGTCTATAGGTCCTAAGTTGAACAAAAGAATCATGAATTTATCTCCCAACTTTATGTGGAAAGTATGAGCGAAAATTGTACTTGTCATAAAACGTATGTATCTTCCTTCCTAGATCGTAAAGGTCTACCAAACTCTGAATTAGAACTCAGTACAAAAGAAAAATGATCTACATGGTTGGGAAATGTCTGTAGATCTTTGGACTACAAACTGATGGTCCTACAAATAGGAATATGGTAGTTTTCAAGAAGGTAATATGTGTCAAGTTATAACAATTCACTTATGTTTTGTCACATCTGGTACCTATGCCTAATGGTTGTAATTTCCTGTTCTTTTTTTCACACTTTTGTTTATCATACATTTGGTTCAGAAAACATGGCAAAGATTGAGAAATGTGGGCATACTTCATGATGCAGTTCCTTCTCCCTGCAATAGGGTAGGGCATCCAATGCATGTTAAGGTAATGTACCTGCTTTTTGAATGGTTAGAAAATTTCTTGAACAAACAATTCATGAATCTTGAGTCTGATTAAATTAAGATATCTGGTTCTACATATGCATTATCTGTACTCTGAAGTAAACTGCCTAAAGCATGATAAGCCTAATGGATGTGAACTATGACTTTGTTTGAGCCGCTATCATTGTGCTTTCAGGATATAACAGTAGAGTGCAGTTTGACTTGCCTCCTATACCTGTGACTGTCTGTCTTATTTGTGTTCATGTTGTTTCTGTAACTTTGAGCATCGTTTTTCATATTGCCAAATGCTTGTGGAGTTCAATATTTTTAGAAAAAAACTAAATGAACAAAATGCAAATACTAAGCAGGTGGCACGGAGGCGCTTCTGGTCAAAGACAGGCTCACCTTCATTTGGTTGGGTTTACTGTGGATCTCATAATTTTAGTGCAGCTGCCTGGGGAAGGCCTATTTCTGGCTCTGTTGGGATAAAAGCGAGTGGACTTGATAAAACCAAGTCTTGTATGACTTCCAGGCTTCACATCTGTAACTATGAACTTGGGATCATTTTTTTGTTTCCTCTGACGGAAACCAAATGCATTGCTAATCAAAATAGCACAAAGTTGGATGATATTGCCCTACCATTTGTTGTGCCTGCTCCCAAATATGGGTCAAGGGACAGGCCAGCAACAGCACAGGCCATGAGGGAGGCATTAGCTGAACTTTCAGAACGAGAGACAAAGAGCCTTCTAGAAGTAGAAATTACAGAAAATATGATGGAAGAGGTTCCAGATGACAATGAGGAAGTAAGTGAGGCAACTAATTATGTTGCAGAGGAGAAAGAAGAGGATAAAACTTATGCTGAGAAGCTCTGGAGCCAGGTTGACTCATCTCAGAGTTGTTGATACTTTCCCGCGGTTTTTACCATGGCAATTTGGGCCATGCATCGAATTTGTAGCCTGTAATATACTGTATGGCAAGTTTTCTTTGATCGATCTATGTAACTTAAGCTTGAGATGAAGACATCCTGCTGTGAGATTCCTTCACTTTAATTCGTTATATGCTGTAGAATAAAAAAAAAACCCTATTATTCTAAGGAATATAAATAAACGGATCGTAAGATCCATTTTGTAAGATTTTGATTGTTCATTCACGTCGTCCAGTTTGCCCCAACCCCGTACTTTGTAATGGCAAAAAATTTCCTTTCTTCTTCAATTTGAAAGGAAGAGCAGCTCCATGTGTCAATCAACTCAGCTCCATGTTCTGCTGCCTTCACTAACAAAAGGAAGCAAGAAACATGACCCTGGTTCCCGGAATAAACCGAAAGTTATGCACCGTTTGGGTTCCTGGCACCGCTACCACTTCCATGTCTCCTGTAAACCTCTCCTAAACCCTTCTTCTCTACCTTCACTCAACACCAACTATGCCTTCAATTCATTTCATGACTTAACTGAGAACCTTTGCAATAGACTCCTTAATTCCTGCAATGGCTTGGCTTTACTCAAACAGATACACTCTTCTCTTGCTGCTTCAGGCATTATCAAGCGTAACTCACATTTGGGAGCCCAAATTATCATCAAATATGCCAAATTTGGAGACAACAACAGTGCTCGCTCAGTGTTCGATACTATCCTCGGCAATAAATCCAATTCTTTTCTTTGGAATACAATGATTCGGGCATATGCAAATGGTGGCTGCCACGTTGAAGCATTGGAGTTATACTCTTTTATGCGTAAAACTGATATTGCCCCTAATAACTACACTTTCCCTTTTGTTCTCAAAGCATGCGCTTCGAAATCGTTGATTATTGAGGGGAAAGTTGTTCATGGGGATGCTATAAGAACTGGGTTTGATTTTGATTTGTACGTTGAGGCCGCTTTAGTTGACATGTATGCAAAATGTGGCCAAACTGATGAGGGTTTTAAGATATTTGATAAAATGCTAAGGAGGGATCTTGTTTGCTGGACTGCCATGATCACGGCCTATGAACAGGCTGAACAGCCCCATAAGGCGCTTCTGTTGTTCCAAAAAATGCAACTTGAGGGTGTTTTGGCAGATGCGGTGGCCATTGTGAGTGTTGCCTCTGCGGTTGGTCAGTTGGGGGATACCATGAGAGCTAAAATAGTTCATGCTTATGCCATTTGTAATGGGTTTTTGGCAGATGTCTCTGTTGAGAATGCAATTATTGCCATGTATGCAAAATGTGGCAATGTGAGCAAGGCTCGTCTGGTTTTTGATTTGATGGAGGAAAGAGATGGTATCTCATGGAATTCTATGCTTTCGTGTTATACTCAAAATGGTCAAGCTAGTGAAGCGTTGTTACTTTTTGAGGAGATGCTGGATTCTGGGTGCAAGCCTAATCCAGTGACGGTATTGATCATGGTATCTGCCTGTGCTTATTTGGGTTCTCAACATCTAGGAAGGAAACTCCACAATCTTGTGACCGATAAAAAGATTAAAATAGATGCAACTCTTCGTAATGCACTAATGGATATGTATGCTAAATGTGGGGATTTAGATACCGCTACCAGGATATTTAATGATATTCATCCGAGGGAACGGAATGCCACCTCATGGAATGTGGTAATTTCTGGGTATGGCATGCATGGATATGGAAAAGAAGCATTGAATCTCTTCTCACAAATGCTACAAGCAGGCGTTGAGCCAGACCATATTACTTTTACCTCTCTCCTTTCTGCCTGTGGTCATGCAGGTCTTATTGACGAGGGTAGGAAATGTTTTGCAGATATGAAAAAGCACTCTGTGACACCCCAGGCGAAACACTATGCTTGCATGGTTGACATGCTAGGCAGAGCTGGACTCCTGAATGAAGCTTTTGATATGATTCAACAGATGCCAATACCACAAAGTGATGGTGTTTGGGGGGCTTTGCTTTTGGCATGCAGAATCCATGGGGATACTGAATTAGGGGAAATTGCAGCTAGAAGCTTATTCAAACTTGAACCAGAGCATGCTGGATACTATGTACTAATGTCAAACATATATGCAGCTTCTAACAGATGGCAAGAAGTTGGGAAGTTGAGGCAAGATATGAAGGATAGGGGATTGAGAAAGCCTTCAGCATTCAGTGTGATTGAGTTTGGTAAAGAGGTTCATGGCTTCCATACAGCTGATCGAGTGAACCCATACCGGCAGGAAGTTTACAGGAAGGTAGAGAGCATGGCAGTTGAGATGAAGATGGTTGGCTACGTGCCGGACCTTTCATGTGTCCTACATGATGTAGAAGAGGAAGACAAGGAGCACATTTTAAACTACCACAGTGAAAAGCTCGCCGTGGCCTTTGGAATCATGAAGATTGATCCAGAAATAGCAATTCACGTTACAAAAAATCTGCGGATCTGCAATGATTGCCACTCAGCATTCAAGTTTGTCTCTTATGTTTATGGCCGGAAGATTGTTGTTAGAGATGCAAATCGGTTCCATCACTTTGAAGATGGAACTTGTTCAGGCAAGGATTATTGGTAAGCCGCCAAAAATGCCGAACCCTCTAGGATGTTTGGACGAGAAACTATGTCAGGCTTTGATTTTCAATGTTGTTTTGAGTGAACTTGATCAGGTAATTGAATCCCTTACCTTCTTAGTTTAATAATTAGAAGATTTATTATAAATAATAATTTTATATAATATATAAATAAAAAAAAAAAAATTATAATAATTTTTAAGAAAGTTATGTTCGATTATATTTTTTGAATTTTAATTTATTAATTATTAATTTTATACTAAAAAGACTAATAATGTTTTTTTTCATATAAATAATTATATTATTCGTTATTTATTTTATTTTAAAATTTTGTTGTCACAGTTTTTATTATTGAAAAAACTCTCTTTATAGTTGTTGTAAAAACAGAAAAAGTTAAAATAAGATAAATTAATCTATCAATTAAGATTAGTAAAAAAATTGATATATTAATAAAATTTTAAATAATATTTAACAATGCAATACTACAATTTATATTTTAGAATTACATAATAATTTTTTAATTTTTAAAAATTAAAATCATAACAAATAAAATTTATGTAATTAAAAAAAATAACAAGTAAAAGATAAAACTTACATAATAAAAAAAAACACATTTGATAGTTTATAAAAATTAAAAAAAATTTATAAAAAGTATAAACACATAAGTAAATAAAATAAAAATAATTTTTTTTTTAATTTTATACAATAGTGATGAATTGTTTTCGACTTAAACGAGCTCATAAATGTTTTCAAGAAGTGAAAGAAAAGAAGAAAGATGTATGAAAAAAATTTAAATTTAAGTTAAAGTTGTGTGAGACTTGTTAAGTGATTTTGTTATTTTTTATTTATATTAATTATTAAATAATAAATTATTTGGAAAAATATTAAATGGTGTATAATAAATAAAAATTTTAAAACTTTGGGGCCCATGCTACCCTCGGCGGCTAGAGAGGATGAGCTGGTGGAGCTCACTACTACTCTACTCAACGTGGTGGTTATGACAGGTGGTCCCAAGGGCCAGGCCTGTGGCCTGTTTAATTGGTGATAGCAAAATTCTATAGGTTCATGAAGGTAGTACACACAAGATGATGCAATCACTTTTTCAGGTGATAACTTCTTGAAAAATATAAAATTCGTGTGACGTCAGCATAAAATGAATAAATAAATATAAACAAAAAAATTTTAATTAATATAAATAATCATATTTGTTTATTATATTTTTAATTTACTGTTTTAAATTTTTTTACTATTAATAATTAATAAGATTTATCTATTTTTAAATATATAGGCATAAAAAAACTTTCATTAAAAATATCTTTTTATTATGAATATTAATAAAATTTATTTAATTTGTAAATATGAATTCAAATTGTATTGAAAGATTTTTATTAAAAATATATTTCTTAATTCTAATAGTATTGAATAATTTATGAATTAACATTACAAAATTTCAATTATATATAATTAAAAAATTAATTTTATTTTACTTATAAACAACTAACTTTACATTATAAAAATACTTGTATTTTGTATATAATTGTTAATTAAAAATAAATTTAAAAAATTCTAAATATAGCTTATTATGCATGTTAAGGTTTCCATAATTATATTCTAAATATAGCATGTTATGTATCTTAATGTTTACAAACATGCAACTAAGAGACATACTTATGCATTTACTATTTGGCTATTGCAACTTTCACATGGTAAAGCTTCCATGAACATGAATGCATTTTCCACATTTGTGCACTCTTATTCATGGAAAAAGTCCTATCACTCTAATGTGAAGACACTGGAATTGATGTGGATGGGGTATTGACTTTCCACTTCACATGGATTGCTTATCCATAATTGTTTACCAGACCATGATGATTAAGTGAGATTGAGACAGCATCCGTGGGTTCATAAGTTGCTTCATTGAAAGTACTAGGTCGGAACCGCGAGGGAAGATTCTAAGCCCCCGACCAACCATGGAAGCCAAACGCAAATGTGGGTCTTCAGGCTCGAGCCGGCCAGTCTGAACGGTACGATAATTTTGGCTCTGTCAGGCAGGGACTCGGCACTTTTGGCTCCGGAAAAACTTTCCAACATTATTCTTTGCTTGTTTCACTTACGTGCGCGACTTGTCCAAAGCCTGATGCAAAAGGTAGACTTTTTTGGAGGTTCTTTTTCCTCACATTTTAAAAGAGATTTTTGTTCTTGGGTCACAACGCAACAAAGAGGGTGGTGGCTTGACGTGTCAATCCAACTCTTCTACTCCATTCCTTTCTTCTACCTCTCTTTTCTTCCTTCACCCGACAGCCCACCCAAAAAATATCCTTCATATTGGACATCGACTCAAACTCAGCCTATATTTTCTCCTTCCTTCTTTTCCTTACATCATTAATGAAACTTGGTAACTGAAAAAGAGAGAGAGAGAAAAAAAAAAAACTAAGCACGCAATTTTGGCCCCAGAAAACATGGAAGTTTTATGTTCTTCCTCTCTACCGATACACTCACGTTGCCTATTTTCCCATCCTTCATCACCTCCACGTTTGCCCTTCCAGTTCCACCCAAATAACAATAATTCAATTTCTTCTTCGAATTCTTCTTGTTTTGGCCTCTCAATCTCGCGTTACAATAACTTTGTTCGCGTTAAACACTCCCATTCTCGTAAAAGAAGAAAACCCCTTCATATTTCTGCAGTTTTCGAGCGTTTCACAGAACGAGCAATTAAAGCCGTGATCCTTTCTCAGAGAGAAGCCAAATCTCTAGGCAAAGACATGGTTTTTACCCAGCATCTTTTGCTGGGATTGATTGGTGAAGATCGCGACCCCAATGGTTTTTTGGGGTCGGGCATAAAAATTGATAAGGCTCGTGAGGCTGTTCGTAGCATTTGGCAAAGTAGTAATCCTGATTCGGGTGAGGATACGGGTTCTGGGTCGGGTAAACAAGAAGGGTCTATTGTTTCTTCAACGGATGTGCCGTTTTCGATTAGCACGAAACGGGTTTTTGAGGCTGCTGTGGAGTATTCGAGAACTATGGGGTATAATTTTATTGCACCTGAACATATTGCTATTGGCCTGCTTACTGTTGATGATGGAAGTGCTGGTCGGGTCCTTAAAAGGTAACTTTTTGTATTTTTTTTAATAAGAAAATTGTTTCCTTTTTGCTGCTGGAACATTTTTGTAGAACATGAACTTGGGTTGTCTTGTTTTGTTTTTAATTATCTGATATTTGAACTTATTAGGTAGTTAATTCAGAACCTTGCTGAGGAAGCATGATATATATTGTTTCGTTATGATATTTTACGGTGATGTTAAGTGCTTTCGCTTTGCAATGTATGTAGTCATGCAAACAGGAAAAGAAATTTAACATTGGACTTTTACGTTAGATTTTTTATGAATGAAGATGTCTTTGGTGGTTAAGCACAGTTCATACCATTCTAAGTCATTGCATCGTGCATCTTTTATGTCATTAATTTTGTATTGACAATCTCAGATTGGGAGCAGATCTGAATCATTTGGCAGATGCAGCAGTCACCAGACTGCAAGGGGAGCTTGCAAAAGATGGTAGTGAACCTTCAGTGCCATCAAAAAGGATGCGTGAAAAATCTCTTTCTGGTAATGCCACTGTTTTGAGATCCACTAACAAGGCAAGAGGTAGAAATTTGATCTGATCCTCCTCTTTTATTTTTTTCTTTCTAAATTCTTATTAGAACAACAGAGGATAATGCTTTGTATCTCACATGTGATTGTTAGGGAACAGTGCTTTGGCACAATTCTGCGTGGATCTTACAGCTCGTGCAATTGAAGGACTCATTGATCCTGTTATTGGCAGAGAGACTGAAGTTCAAAGAGTTGTTCAGATACTTTGTCGCAGGACCAAGAATAACCCTATTCTTCTGGGTGAAAGTGGGGTTGGAAAAACAGCCATTGCTGAAGGACTTGCAATTAGTATTGCAGAGGCAGAAACTCCTTCATTTCTCTTGGTCTGTCTCTTCACAAGTGATTGAAGTTCTAGATAGTATAGCTAGTTCTTTTTTACTCCATCTAAATGCCAATATTCGTACTTTTTGCAAGGGCATATCTTCAAATTTAATTGGCTTTATTGCTCTTTCTGTGCACAGAATAAAAAAATAATGTCCTTGGACATAGGACTATTGATGGCTGGTGCGAAGGAGAGGGGAGAATTAGAGGCACGTGTTACTGCTCTACTAAGTGAGACAATAAAATCAGGTGCCCACAATGATTGCTTTTTGGGAAGCTGAAGTATATTTTATTGTTACTCATACTTGATGTACTTGTTCTGCAGGTGATGTCATTCTTTTTATTGATGAAGTCCACACACTTATTGGATCTGGTACAGTTGGCCGAGGAAACAAGGGATCTGGTCTTGACATTGCCAATCTATTGAAGCCTGCACTTGGGAGGGGTGAATTACAGGTAACTGTTTTTCATATCGTCCTTTTTGTAGAGAACCTGAAATGCCAAAAACATAGGCATGCTGTTACAACAGTCGTTGAAGATGAAATTTAGAAATTAAATAATAACAGCATTGATATTTTGCTTATAGAGAGGGAGCAAAGAGAGAAAAGGTAGAAGTCCAAGCTTGAGAAATTTCAGCTCATTGAAATTTTTCTTGAAAGATTCCTAGTCCATAGAAGGACCAATTCAGGGGCTGCCTTAAGATATTAGTACAGTTGCTGCATTTCTTTTTATTATTGTTGTCATACCATAATATGTGCCCTTTTGAGGACTAAGCTCTGCCCATCAATGAAGCCCTTTTTGTCCATTTTTGATCAGGCCTTGCTATTATTTTGCCTGCAGTGTATCGCATCAACGACTATAGGGGAATATAGGACCCAATTTGAAAAGGATAAAGCATTAGCACGAAGATTCCAGCCAGTGTGGATTAATGAGCCAAGCCAGGTTCTTTTGAAGCACAATCTATTCCATAAGTACCTTATTGTTTATTACCCTCTTCTCTTATTTGGATTTGATGTCATTACTTATAGGAGGATGCAGTTAGGATACTGCTTGGCTTGCGTGAGAAATACGAGTTCCATCACCACTGCAGATACACTCTGGAAGCAATAAATGCTGCTGTATACCTGTCAGCAAGATACATTCCTGACAGGTATCTTCCGGATAAAGCAATTGATCTCATTGATGAGGCTGGAAGTAGAGCTCGTATTGAGGCATTTAAGAGGAAAAGAGAGCAAGAAACTGGTATTCTCTCAAAAGCACCAAATGATTATTGGCAAGAGATCAGAACTGTTCAAGCCATGCATGAAGTGGTAATATCTTTTTCTTATGATGTACTTGTAGTTTTTTTTAATTTGGTGTTGACCTCCTTTGGGTACCATGATTAGGTTATGGCCAATAGGTTGAAACATGATGATGGCGCTTCCAATGAGGATGATTCTAGTGAACTCCTTTTAGAATTCCCTTTGCCTCCCACTTCAGATGATGATGAGTAAGCTTTTAGTTTTTCTGGAGTCATGTTGAAGGATAAATTTATTAGGTTCTTGGTCCTCTAGGCTCTGCCTGGTTTCTAACTAAATTTCTTGTGGTGATTCTTTCAGACCTATAATGGTGGGACCTGAAGAAATTGCAGCCATTGCTTCAGTTTGGTCAGGGATCCCAGTGCAGCAGATCACTGCAGACGAAAGAGTGCTTCTACTAGGTCTTGATGAGCAGCTTAAGAAAAGAGTTATTGGTCAGGATGAGGCTGTTGCTGCCATTTCTCGAGCTGTTAAGAGATCCCGGGTTGGCCTGAAGGATCCTGATAGACCAATTGCTGCAATGATCTTCTGTGGTCCAACTGGGGTTGGCAAAACTGAATTAACTAAAGCTTTAGCAGCGTGCTATTTTGGGTCGGTAAGGCTTCATGCTATCATTCATGCATTTCCCTCCTTGAAATCAGTTTTAAAGTATAGCCTTTAAGTAGAAAAGTTTTTTGTATGATTAGACTTATTAGAAAATACTGAAATTTCATTTCTGGCAAAATTTTGCCTACGTGGGTCGTTTATCGGGCCCCTATATTTTCCTTTCATCCCTTTTCTGTTAATTTTCTTCTTGTCTTTCATTATAATTTATCAGTATGACTGAAAGGAAAAAGGGAAGAGAGTTCTTCTTGAATCATGGTTTTTCTTCCCTTGTTAATAAATAGTTGAGCGCCATATGTGCAAAGGTTTGTTTTTTGGTGAATGTCTCTTGCCCAAGTCTTCTAACACCTGCTTAATCTTACCGATCTCTTTATGTCTTTTAATGCCATTATTGCAGGAGGATGCCATGCTTAGATTGGACATGAGTGAATATATGGAGCGGCATACAGTGAGTAAATTAATAGGATCACCCCCAGGTTATGTAGGTTATGAAGAGGGTGGTATGCTTACAGAAGCTATTAGGAGACGACCATTCACATTGGTATTGCTTGATGAAATAGAGAAAGCTCATCCAGATATATTCAATATCCTTCTCCAATTGTTTGAAGATGGCCACCTTACAGATTCTCAGGTTTGTTTGTTGTGAAGTGCACTTGGCTAATATGCTGGTATTTATGAAAATAATGATGTTGCTTTTCGCTTGAGATGTTTAAAAATAAATAATTATCATCTGTATGAAGTCTTGAGATTCAATAGCTTGGATTGATATTTAGTTGATCATCTGTGCCTCTTGTTCGATATTCTGTTGAGCAGGGTCGAAGAGTATCTTTCAAGAATGCTTTGGTGGTGATGACTTCCAATGTGGGTTCTTCTGCCATAGCAAAGGGTAGACGTGGCTCCATTGGTTTCTTGCTTGAGGATGACAAATCAACTTCATACACCGGAATGAAGGCTCTGGTAATGGAAGAACTGAAGGCATATTTTCGTCCGGAGTTACTCAACAGGATTGATGAAGTAGTTGTATTTCGGTCTCTTGAGAAAGCTCAGGTTTGTAACTTTCTGTTGATTCGTTAAACAATTACATCTTTCCTTCATCTCTTGGGAGTTCCTTCTATATTTATTTTGTCCCCAGAATCTAGGTCTGAATTAACCTCTTTCTGCAAAATTTTCAGTTAGGGTCCCGAGTATTTTTACAAGCTATATATTTCAAATTTGAAAAAGTAGTGAGAGTTAGAATGAGTGAGAGAGAGAGAGAGATGTAATTCAAGGCCGAAAGTCTGTTCATCTAGGATGATGCAATACTAAAAAGCCTCGGTGATGTCTGTCTGTTTTTTTTTTTTTTTTTCTGTTCAGATGCTTGAGATTGTAAATCTGATGTTGCAAGAGGTGAAGGCAAGGATCATGTCTCTTGGAATTGGTTTGGAGGTGTCTGAGTCAATCAAGGATCTAATCTGTGAACAAGGCTATGACCAGACCTTTGGTGCACGGCCCCTTAGGAGGGCAGTTACCTCAATAGTTGAAGATCCCTTGAGTGAAGCACTCCTGGCCGGAGATTACAGACCCGGTGAAACGGCTGTGATTGATCTGGATGCTTCAGGAAACCCCATTGTTACTATTCAATCAGATCGGAACATCAGCTTGTCTGATACCGCATCCATCTTCTAGTTGCTTATTCCAGTAGTATATAATTTCACGATGTAACCTTATACGTGTAAATAGTATAGGAATTATCTTTTTGGTAGTTTAGGGTAACATTAATTTATTCAATTGTATATAAGTAAAGCTTTGAAGTTAATTCGGCAAACTGTTGTTTCAAAGTTCAAACAATACCAGTGTGGTATTTCATTTTCCCCCTCTCCCATGGTGAATTTCTTCAATTTTCCTTATCAAGCAATAAATGATTTTATAATTGATTATAAAATAACAATACATATGCATTCATTAGAATTAGAGTGTATGCATTTTACGATTACAACTCAAAATAATAACATGGAATTATTTATGTTCAAAAGTTGTGGTTCTTTGATTACAGTAAAAAAAAAACCAACAAAATGATTTCCCCTGGGATTAGTAAAAGGTATATAATTTTAGTAATTTAATATATGGATATGGCAAGCTAGTATCAAATTTCAAAATATAAAAATTTATATAAAAAATCATGCAAGTGTATTAAATTTATGTTTTTATACATATAAGTAATTTTAAAAATTAATGCATTTTTAATAAATTTTTTTTGTAAATCAAAGATTGTAATATTATTTTTTTTACGATTTTAATCGGTACTTATAACGCTCCGCTTACGAGACAACAGCGAAGTAAACTCTGCCAAGTGAAAACCCCCAAAAAAGAAAATTGATATATAAGAAAAAGAAATTGTGGAAAAAAGGGTACTATAATAACCGGTTAACGGTGTGTGGAATCCCATTTGGCTTCTTCGTTCAATTGCGAATACCCTCTGTTCGCCGGGAACTCATCAGAATCTCAGACGTTGGCTTCTTATTAATCTCATGGCCGCCAAGCCTTCCGTGCCTTTCCTCAAACTCAATGCCCCCGCCACCATCCTAGCCTCCATCAAGCAAGAACCCCTTCAATCACCGCCGTCCATACCACCACGTGAGCCCATTCCAGAACCGTTAGCGGTTGTCAAAGTCGAACCAGAACAAAACGAACAACAGCAACAACCACAAGAAGAAGAAGAAGAACAACAACAACAACAAAAAGAACCCCAATTCTTAAAATCCATCAACGACCTCGCCACCCTCTCCTCCGTAATCCACGCTTTCAAATGCAGATTTGAAGAATTAAAAGAACACCTTGATTTCATCAACCAAGCCATCGACTCCAAATTCAATGAACCACAAAAAGAACAACGCCCAAAGATTGAAACCCAGCCTCCTGCGAAATCGACGGAAACTGATAATAAAACGGAAAAACAAGGACCCGAGACGACTCCTTCGAAATCCTCGCGTTCCGAAATCCAAAGCCTCTGCGAGATGATGTGCAGCAAAGGACTACGTAAATACATTGCGGCCCATTTATCAAACGTTTCGAAGCTTCGAGAAGAAGTCCCTGCAGCTCTAACGCTTGCCCCAAAACCCGCCAAATTGGTTTTGGATTGCATTGGGAGGTTCTTTTTACAAGGAATAAAGGCTTATACCAAGGACTCGCCCATGATACCGGCAAGGCAAGCTTCGGTTTTGGTCCTCGAGTTTTTTCTTTTGATGATGGGAGGTTTTCGCGGCAAAGGTGAGGTTCAGATTGCGGCGGACATTAAGTTGGAAGCGGAGAAAGGAGCCCTAGCGTGGCGAAAGAGATTGATTAGTGAGGGTGGTTTGGCTAGGGCAAGTGAAGTTGATGCTAGGGGTTTGTTGCTTTACGTTGCTTGTTTTGGGATTCCGAAAGCCTTCCGGAGTGAGGATTTGGGGAATTTGTTGCGGTTGTGTAATCTCAGGGCCATTGCGGATGCTTTGAAGGGCTCTCATGTGCTTCCTGTTAAAATGCCAGGTAATTGCATTTTGGGTTTCTTAGCTTACATTATATGAATTGTTTATAAATTTGTGATTTTGTTGGATGTTACAAATTTTATAATGAGTATAGGGTGTCATTAAAGTTATATAGTTAAACAAGTATTTTGATGCCTGCCATTAGTTTTCCAGTATAAAGGCCTAGATCTGTTTGAGCTATTCAAAATTTGCCATGGTTTTTAGGCTTTCTCTTATTTCCTAATCCTAGGCTTTTTTAACCATCCAATTCATGATATTTAACTTCATTTTCTTTGTGGTTATCACTTTTCTTCAGTTTACAGGTAAGATTATAATCCTATAGACTAGTAGTGGAGTGGAGTTCCACAAATGAGTTTATATGCTACCATGCATCAATATAACAATTAGTAAGGAAGTCAATATTGAGTTGTTTATTTGTTGCTTAGCAACTCAGCCTATAGCTGAAATAGTGGCATGCTTAACGGAGGGTGGTTTGATATGTCTTTTTGGTAACAAGAACTGTGGGAAAATGAAGTGTAGCTTTTCTTGATTAATCTCTGATTTGCTTTAGCAGCCTTCTTTGGATATTAGCTCGCTTAGCTTTGAATTAGCCAAGGATTTTGTTATATTCCTGCCTTAGATAAGTAAATTACTCAAGCATTGAGATGGTCTTTGGTCTTACTTGATATAGCTAGAAGGTCAGTTGCTGAACCCAGTGTAGAAAGGGAAATATAGGTAAATTTTAGTCTGTCAACAAGTGAATGGTGCCATAGCAAATTGCTTATTATTTTAAAAGATAAAGAATATTGGTTGTTTGGAGGAAGTTAGCTGCCAATTTAGGATTCTCGTTTAATGGTTGATACTAGAAGTTACATTCATAAGTACTGAGATCAAATGGAAGAGGATGGAAGAAGTGGTGGATTTTACCAAGTCATGTGATCCAGATAAAGAGGCATTCTCGCTGCATCTAGATTAGGTTTTGTAAACTTGTCTGTGCTCATCAATTCTCCATTGTATGGGGTAAGAATTCCTTTTTTGAAACTTGTTGAAGAGAGTTTCATGATACTGAGGGAGGGGCAGGGTTGTGTGCCTAAGGGCTATTTCTTATTGTGTTATGGTCTTTGTGGAAATGGCAAAAAGAAACATTTCAAAAGACTGTCATGAACTTTTTGAATGAGATGTGCTCTGCCTCAGACATCCATTGGTTTATAATATCAAGGCTATGATGAACTTATTATATTTTTCTCATTGAAGGTTGGGGTTACAGTGGGCTTGTTCATTGCTTTAATTCTTGAGTCTTATGTATGATGCTTTTGTCTGCTACAGATATCATAGAAGGTATGGCCAAAAATGGAATGTATGTTGAAGCTGTTGATGTTGCTTCCATCTTTGGTCTTGAGGATAAATTCTCCCTTAAGACAATTTTGACTTTATTCTTGCAAGAGTCTACAAAAGCATTCAAGAAGGCAAGACAGGAAGCACAAAATTCTCCTGTGGCACTGGTATGGTCCTCTTTGACCTGCTGTCACACTATGGTCTTACTTTGTTTATCATTCTGGAATATTGCATTTATTTTTTTATGGCTTTTTACAGAAAAAGGCTAATGAAAATCAATTAGATGCTCTGAAAACGATAGTCCAGTATTTGGAACATCGCAGTAGTGATGTGACAAAGCTTCTTGGTGCATGGCAAATTGAAGAGAAGATAGTCAAGTTGGAAGAAGAAAATGCTGAGCTACAAAAAAGGATCGATGACAAGAAAATCATGCCAAAGAGAAAACTGGATGAAACAGGATCCTCAAGTAAGGCTAAGAGTCAAGAAATGAAACGTCCACGGTTTACAGCTAAAGGGTCACCCTTGCCGAAATCTTCTCATGTCAATGGGTTGCATGAGCAACGAACTGCTACTCTTGCAGATGGCATGAGGTCATATGATGGTTTGGTGGCAAAAACTATGGACAATGGTATTTCTGGTCATGTTAGCAATTATCCTGCTGCCTCATCTGTGCCACATGGATCAACTGTAGGTTCTTATCCTGAAAATGGAGTCGGCCACATGGCAGGAATCGGTGGTGTTGGGAGCAGCAGTATGGTGACAGGCATAGGTGGCCTTTTAGCAGGTTCTTATTCTGTGGCTCATGGAGATATGGGAGTTGATAAGGCTGGGAGTAGCAGTGATCTGCCATATGGATGGCGCCAAGGCTCTGTTCGGCAATCTGCATCCATGAGGTTTGGTGGTTTGTTTGGGACATCACCGTCTATAGAAGGCTTTGTTGGTCTGCCCGATTTTCCATCTTCTGGTGCTAGTGATAGGACAACAGCAGATCTATATCGGTTTGTTGATTCTGTTGTGGAAAGTGAGACCTATAGTGGTAGCTCTCACAGGACTGGCAGTTTGCAAAACGTAGTGCCTGTCCGTCATTCTTCCTATATGTTTTAATGAATTAATGGTACCGGGTTGTTTCCTTGACTTTACTTAATGCAGAGTTAGATAAGAGGGAGAAGGTGAAGCCTTCCATGTGTTTCTTTTTGAACCAGGAGGGTACCTATAGCACCTGCAAAATTTTCAGGTGCTTCATCAGGTTTCAGCTGTTTATATGATCGCGTTGAAGTCAATTTATTTCAGTTTTAATAGGCCATTCTCTCAAGTTAAAATAGTCATTGCCCTTTTGTTCTTCTGCTGCACTATTATCACAGCAGAGGCCACAAATGTGGTTGGGGTGTCTTCTTTTTAAAGGGTATGCCTTTAACTTTTGTGTACGAGGTTGTATATTGATATATTAGGCCCTGCCCGGTTCAGGCTGGTTGTTACATGTCAACGTATCTTAAATTTTTGCAATGAAACCAATTTGACAGAGATAAGTCATAAGCATCATAAACGAGCCAAGCTAAGGAAATAATTACCCGTACGTATAGTAATGAATATCAAACTCGCAGTGTTTAATGTGTGTAGTAGTATAACAATGCTCCAAACAATAGATGCACCAAACTGTAAAACTTATATAAACAACCGCAACTACACATTAGATATGACAATTAGCATGGATGATCTGCGTTTCCATTCAGTGTTACTATCTGGTAGAGAGAAACGAAGAAGTAGAAAGTCTCCTCTTTTCCTTTCTTATCTGATGAAAGAGGGATGCCTCCATACTATATAGTAGAGACTCTTAATACTAAAATGAAAGTCAAGGCGGCTGTGGTCACACTTGGGCTGGGGCTTATCCTTGCCGATTTGGAAGGCTTCTGCCATGGTGGATTGATTGTAGGAAGGATTTTACAGAGGAAAATGTGAAATAGCAGATGTTGAGGTCATAGTGGCTGGTGTTGGAACTTCACAGTTCCATGATTGCCCTGTCAATGTAAGTAGAAAGCATTTGAATCTCCGTCTGTAAGATTAAAACTTTTTCTCATCCATGCAAAATTCATGAAGCAAGCAGCATGGACGTCATGATGGGTGGTAAACAAGCTTCTATGCACGCCAAGTTTAACAGTTTCCTTCCTTTTCATTTACTTCCTCTTAAAACAAAATATAGTTTATACTGAAGCATGTATCATTGTTTATTATATAAAAGATAAACGATGATCTAGGAAATAACATCCTCCTCGGGAGGTCTTCTCCTCAGAAGACATCTATAATAACATCATAGATGAAGCAAAGGCTGCAGTTGAGAAAATTTGTATCAAACAACTACATTGCAGAGTGGTGCAGGAAGATATGAAGTGCAGACGGGGAGGAGGGATAGTTTAGTCTCTTCAACCTAAAATGCAGAGTCTCCTCCTCCGTCAGCATCAGTGTCTGATACCGTTTTGTTATTTGCGAAAAAATGGCCTAACTACGACTGATATGCTTCTTCATCTATTTAAAAGTCGTCACTTATAATATTTCAATGGCCAATTTTTTCCCCAAACTTTCATGCAATTTTGAGCTGTCTGTAGGAGCTCACACTATTGGGGTCACGCATTGATCTCACATCAAAGGTCGTCTTTACAATTTTAAGCATCCTGATCTAGCCATGGATCGTTTCCTCCTGAAATCGCTGAAATTCAGGTGTCGCCGTGATACAGCAACAGAAGCTGACCTTGATCCATTTCCGTTGAGACTACACCTTATCGATATTTCATACTACAAGCAGTGCTGGTTCATAAAGGCATTCTCCGAATGGATCAAGAGCTGGCATTAAATCGATACAAGGGCCATTGTGAGAAACATAGCAGATTCCCTTGATTTCCTTATCAGATTCGGTGCTGCTACGGTTAAACTTGGAGCAATTGAGTTAGAAGATATTGTAGGGCCACTGACAAGCACCCCCTACCCCGAACAAAAAAAGCCAGCGTTCGTATAGGTGAAAGAAGCTTTGCATGCGAGCTGCGACTTTGTTTTCTTATTTACTGCAAGTCTGAATATGATTGGTTCCTGGCAATTGTTTTTGTTCTTATACTTCATTGTATGCAATAAAAGTTGAAAGGTGATCCTCAGTTTTCAACATTGAAATATTAAATATGTAATGTCCCAGTTTTTCTTTTATGCTCATCATTTTTTACAAATTAGCCTTTACATTTGTGCATTGAAGATGGCTGTGGGATTTGGGAAGAATCGATCGCAACTGGCAAAAGAATTTCTTAGGAAAATAGAATGACAAATCATCTACCGTTGAATTTTTAGAAAGGTGATGCTTGGAAAGAAAAAATCTGAAACAACATGTAACTATCCTTGGGCAAAACATAAATAGTAGCCATTTATCCGTTGAAGTGCAATGTTTCTAGAGTTATAACACTATCCGGGCTTAATGGTCGTGATTGGCGCAATTCTGCTATCGCCAGTCCTGAGACTTGGACTGCACTTTCTCTGGTCATAGAACGGTAGGCCAGGAAAACCCAATAACATGGGTTTGGACTAGAGGTTAGTAATCCAACCCATTTTTTCAAAATACCCTATGGGTTTGGATTCGATCCTATCTTTGAACAAGTACAACGGTTGGCCCTTTTGGCGGGAGACAGATATTAAGGCCTCCCCTGTTCCACTCTGCTGTAATTCCTTCTTTTCTTGCTTTCTAAAGAGAGCAAAGACTCCAGAGTATTTTGGGACCTCAAAATGGATCAGAGCGCCACGTGGAAACTCCTTGAATCGGATTGGTACTCTCCAAGACGACTCCATGACAGTCCCACTGAATACGATTTTCCGGTACCAATGATCTTTCCCTTTTATTTTTTTTTCTCCTTTTTTCTATCAAGAAACACCCATTTTGTACTGTTCTTCTCTGTTTTTCATTGAATGTTTTATAAGCAGTATTAGTTAATTACTACTTTCTTGTTATTTGTTCTTACTTTTGGGTTTTTGCAAAGGGGGATCGCTTTTTACCCAACAGAAGTTTGATGAATCTTGATAAAGCCCACAGTTTGTTGACCAATAGGACCAAAGAGTTCAACACTTCAAAATGCAATGTACGTTTCATTATGTTTCCTTCCAATTTATAGTTTCTTGGGTTCTGAACTTCGTGGAAATTTCCATTTTGGTTTTCTCATGTTTTTGCCATATTGATATACTTCAAATCATTTCAAAAGAATATCTTGATTCTTGTGTTTCACTTGGTTTTGGATTGTCTCCTTGTGGTTTTTCGCCTTGTGACCGGAATTTGATTTGGACAAGGTGAAAATCTTGAGATGAGGAAACTGAGAGTTTGTTTCTTATTTTTCTGTCGATTGCTGGCAGCAAGTTTATCGACAGAAGCTGATTGAGCATCTGTCTTTAGATTCCGAAGAGAGACCATCTAGGATTATGGTTTTCAGAGGAAGCCCAAAATCGAGTAGAAAGTCTATTCGTTTTGTTGATGAGATGAGACAGGAGGAGGCAGCGATACTTGACAATGATGGCAAAAGGACTCATTATCGATGCATCCCCAAGGTACTCATGCCCTGTTTTTGTATTTTGGATTCTTGTGAGTAGCAAAAAATTTATCCTCTAAACAATATATGGAATCGAATTGACGGTGATAAACTTGGGAAGTCCGAATGAAATGAAGGGCCTGCTTCTTGTTTGTTATTCATGTCTGTAAGTAGGAAGGAAGCTTATACTGTTCATTGTTCAGATAATGTGATAAGTGGAATTTGCGTGCAGGGGACAAAGAGGATTTTGGATGCACCAGGGATTAGAAATGACTACTACGTGAACGTCATGAGTTGGGGTAAAAACAACATTCTTGCTGTTGCTTTGGGTCGGGAACTGTACTTATGGAACTCGAAGGACCAGAGTGTACACAAGTTGTTGCACGTTCGTGGGAATGATTGTCCTACAAGTGTAAACTGGTCCGAGGATGCCAAAACTCTAGCGGTTGGATATATGTGCTCCAACCTTCAGCTCTGGGATGCTGAGTCTTTTAAACTTGTATAGCTCTACTCTCTCTTCTCTTTTGGGATCAGTTTTATTGTTTTAAGGACCTTAAAAGGTTGCTCAGAAGCATCATTAGTATCTGTTTTACATACAGATTAGAAGCCTTCAAGGTCATAGTGGAAGGATAGCATCCACTGCATGGAATGGCCACATTTTAACATCAGGAAGCCGCGACAAATCCATTATCAACCATGATGGTATTTGAATCAAATCCTTTCACCTCTAGACTCTAGTTAGGAAAATATTTTAACAGTTTAGAGAAATTTCTCTCATGTACGCTCTCTTTTGCAGTTAGAGCAGTGAACAATTTGGCTTCCTGCATTAGAAAACACACTGATGAAGTGTGCGGCTTGAAATGGTCAACTGAAGGCAATATGTTGGCAACTGGAGGCAATGAAAATCTGTTATACATTTGGGAAGCTTCCAAAATGAGTTCATCCAAATATTTACATCGACTCAGTGATCATTGTGCTGCAGTCAAGGCCCTTGCATGGTGCCCCTATCAGCATAATGTTCTTGCCTCTGGAGGAGGCCTGAGTGATGGATGTATTAAGATATGGAACACACAAAAAGGAACCTGCATTAACAGCATAGAAACAAAAGCACAGGTAAATCTTATATTGTATTTTACATTCGCATAAATTTAGAACTCAATTTCCTTACTCTATTTTCCAATTTTTTTTCACCAAAAAACCTTTGTATTTGCAAATTTCCTATAAACCTAAGTTGCAAACTGTTAAGTATTAAGAAGAATTAATTTATATAATTTGCTAAGCTGGTGTTGTTCTAAGATTAAAACTGCAAATATGCTTTGTGGAAATGCATTCATTTACTACCTACCAGTTAATATTTGGTCTTCTGGTTTGAGTATGGGTAATTTGATGTAAATGAGCAGATTTGTGGGCTGGAGTGGAACAGACATCACAAGGAGATATTAAGTGGCCATGGCTACAGCACAAGTGAGAATCAAAACAAACTATGCCTGTGGAGGTACCCTTCCATGACCAAAGTGGGGGAGTTAGGGAATCACAGTTCCAGAATTATCAACCTATGCCAGGTTCAACTATTCAAACTTAAATTCTAGACCCAGTACAATATTGCAAAATACATGACAATATAAGTTTCCCTTGTTTCTTTGCTGTAGAGTCCTGATGGAGTAACTGTGGTATCTGCTGAGGCTGATGAGACTCTTCGCTTTTGGGATGTTTTTGGACCCCCTACTACTGGAAGTTTATCGTTTACAGATCTTCAAGGTCTTTTGTCTTTGAGGACGACTCTAATAAGATAATAGCATGTGGAGCAATCCTTCACAACATGCTAGTATCCTTCTCTGTAATTTATTCGGTTATTGTATAGATATTCAGAGGATGCTTACCAATTTTCTTCCTCTCAAACTCACTGGATATATTGGGTTGTAACTTTTACTGCTCTTACGAAGGAAATTAGTTCGTGCAAGTATGCAACAGAGAATATTGATGAAAACAATATATCACTTGCCCATTTTATCCATTGTGCAGAAGATTTGCTTAAAAGCACTTCATTTTCTGGAAGTTATAGGACTTTATTGATACACCACTTCATTTCTACATCTGACGGCTGAATATTCACGTATCAAAATTCAGCTGTCCAGGTATGGATACAAACAAAACTGAAAAGAACAAAAGGATCTCTCTTTGACGTGCAAAAAAAACCTCTTTCTCACTTCCGAAGATACAATGAAGAGATAATCACATCAAGGTATATTAATCTAAATCTATTCAGCCTCGGAATCATCAGTGTCATTATCTAAGTACATCTCTACAGCTTCATCGTCAGTGTGTTTCTCCTCTTCTTCCTCTTTTTTCCTCCTCTCTTCTTCCATTTCTCTCTCTGCAGCTAGAGCCTTTGCTTTTTCAAGTCTAGCACTAACTGCTTCCCAAGATACTAGCTTCTCCATGAACATTGAAATGTAATCCGGTCGTCGGTTCTAGCAGAGGAATAAATATTACAAAGTTTTTAGACTCACTTGACAACATTTCGTTAGAAACAATAAATAGCCTCATAATCACACAAAGAAAAGCAAATTACAACTCATGAAACTTACCTGGAAGTCAAGGTAATAAGCATGCTGTTGACACAAAGCAAATCCCACCAATGGAATTAGTATTGGTTGATAAGAATAATTCTTAAAAGGAAGAATTTGGGAATAATTCAAATACACCAATCAGCAAAAATAGTTAAAACATTGATTACCTCCCAGACATCAATAGTGAGCAGTGGCTGCAGAAAATCAACAGATGATATATATTAGATGTATAGAACTAACAAATATTATAGTGTGAGTAGATTGCTTTCTACCATCGCAAAAATCAAATTGTACATTATGCTTGAAACATGAATTACAAGTGTGCAGCAAGGAATGTACTCACGAAGTAGTCCCAAACAAGGGGATTCACGGCATTTGGACTTTTTACAACTACAAGCTTTTTGTCCTTCTCTGATGGCCAAGGATTGATCGCATTTTCCACATCAAGCCTATTGGCTTTGTCTGGATAAAAAAGATAGACACATTACGGTCCAAATTTTGCTAAGACCTTGAGATATTAACGGGAATTAAGTAAAGATGCCATGCTAAGTGGTACCCACATGCAAGCCATGCCCAGCCAGAACCAAATTGAGTAGCTGCAGCAGACTTGAACTCTTGGATGAATTGTTCGAAAGACCCAAAATCTCTTTCAATCAGATCTAGAAGATCTCCAAATGGTTTTCCTCCACCACCTGGTTTCATTGATTCCCAGAAGAAGTCATGGTTCCAGGCCTGCAAACAGATCATAAAATTTAAAAGACAAATATAATATGCAATTTTAGATTTACTAATGCGTGTGACATACCTGTCCGGCATTGTTAAAGGCAGGGAGTATATCACCCTTGTTGTATGAAACAATTATAATGTCTTCCAAGGGCAACCCTTCTAGCTCTGTTCCTGCAATTTGCTTGTTTAGGTTCTCCACATAGGTTCTATGGTGCTTTCCCCAATGATACTCCAGGGTTTCTCGGCTCATATGTGGTTCCAATGCATTCTGGGCATATGAACAAATAACAAAATTTCAACTCTGTTAGCATGTGTTTATTTCTTTTGATTTCTTCTCATTTAACCTGGCACATGAACATTAGCAAATGTTGTAGATTTGTCGAAACAAAGTAACATATTATGTTTCTGGCAACAAGCTTAGCAATAGGGTCTCTTTTGCTTTCTTATACCCAATTATTACGAATGCAAACTAACTCTAAAAGATTGCATTTTGAGTTTGCAACAAAAAATATTTCAATTAAAAACGATACCAAAAGTAAAAAGAAATTTTTGAATTTTTACCAGCGGATATGGAGGAGGCTTCAGCTCGAACTTTGCCGTTATCAAATTAGAAGCAACCTTCCTCGAAAAGCGCCTCTGCAACAAACAAATTGAGTTTTGGCTAAGAAAATGGGAGAAAACAAATGACTTCTAGCGTAATGCATCTGCTTGAAAAGCTAGAAAAACTCTATAAAACTTTGAAACATTTCATCGAACAGCCTTAGTACACTACACTCTCCACAACCCATTTTCATAAGCCGAATTCCTCTGAACAATAGAACAGATGAAAGGGAAGGTGCAGCAAAAAAATACGGAAGCAAAACCTGGGGTATTGTACATGGCAACCAGCTAGTAGACGGTCCACGAAGCCCTGCTTTTGCAATTACCCAAAATAAATAAGAAGGATTAAACAGACAACGAGCGGCTAACGATGATAAAGTAAGAGCAACCTTGGGAGGGAAGTAACGGGAACGTAAGTGAAGTAGCCATGGAAGCAGCTGCCGCCATTCCTCGAGTAGGCTTGTCGGAATTTTTGGAAATCTTGGACAAGGCAACCGGTAGATGTGGGACATTTAAAAAGAGGTGGGAAGGGCTGTGTTTAACTGCCACATCGGCAGTTTATGCCATTAAATGGCCGCCACGTCAGATGCGTCTCTCCGTCTTGTCATGGTGTCTAACTATACTTCTAACTATACTTCTTGTCATGGTGTCTCGGACATGCTCGTGCTCCTATCTCTGTTTTGAGCAGTACATAGTGTACAACGTAGTACCATATGTACGATCCAACTATCCCAGTCGATTCAGTGTTGATCTATGTTTGAAATGAGGTAACATTTTAAAAAGTGTTTTTAAATTTTTTAAAAAATTTAAAGAAAATTTTATTTTTTATTAAATTTAATTAAATTTTTATAATTTTAATATTAATCAAATTAATCAAAACATTATTTACTATTTACATTAATTCGTGTTGATATGATATGTTGATATATTATTGATGACATGATATTTTAATATTTTTTATATTTTTATATAAAAATAATAAATAATATTTTAATTAATAATAATTAATAAATCATTAATTATAAAAATTTATTTAATTTAAAAAATATGTAAATTTAATTGAACACAATAAAAAATAAAAATTTTTTTAAATTTTTTTAAAATTATTATGTTAATTATAACTATCATATTTACAAGACAATGAAGATATATAAGAATGAGTGAGGTGAAATTTGAATTGAAATCCTAAGTATTAGTTTAATGTGAAAAAATTTGTGTTTTGCAATGTAACCGCAATGCAATTGGCACTAGATAAATGCAATGTAACCATAACACTATAAGAGATTTTTTTTGCTTTAATCTTATCAATTCATCTTCCCTCTTAAATTTGATTTGGAGACCTCAAACACAAATTGGAAATTGAAAGTTTTAAACTATACAGAAACTTTTAATTTCAGTACGCAACATATATCAGAAAAAATATTAGCATGCTATCATGGTTACCCATGACAGACATATTTGTGGTAGGCAAGGCAGCCAAGATTTCAGCACTGTTCATTTATGTTTGATCTCCATTCACAGCGCTGTATTGTTTGTTCTATCTTCCAACAGTATTAATTTTGCGACAATATGTTCAGTTCTCCCTAGTGCCATGGCACGAAGATCATGGAGTACGGCCAGTAGTTCATACAATCCCTCCTTCAAACCAGGCCATAAAGTCAAGTAAAGGATAAGATTTGAAGGGTTTAAAACTGATCTTTAATGATTGGCAATAAAATCAACAAACGATCCATACACACAAGCTGAAGAAAGATGGGTAGAAGTATATAACAAAAAATGTTGAATCTCCCACCAACTGCATAGCAGTAACGTGAGTGTTTCTTCTGATGGAGTTGCAACGGTGTGCTCATAGTCAGCAATAATCCAGCATATGCTGAAGAAGGGAAAACGGTGCTTCAATTAAGCCCAAATTCTTTTATGGGGAGCAAGATCTGATGTTTTTATTTCATCTATCTTGGAAGCCACAATGAAGTCATTCATGCTCAGGCCTCCTGCAATTCCAAAACAAACACTTCCTGTAAGCCTGATTAAAAGGATCATGGCACAAACCACTCCTATGTAGCTGCAGAATAAAAATGCATATTGCAATGCCTGTGAGGGGGTGACTTTTGCAGGCAACAAGAGGAAAAATGCTAAGTTGGAAAGTTTACCAATGGAAGCACTCCACAGCTCAGCTCTGACTTGATTTGGCTCTTCCAAGTGGAGATTAGGAAAATGCCCAGTGGCTTCTATAACCTTACAAATCCTATTGATCAGTTCAACGCCACATTTGAAATCTCTCAATTTCCACAAACAGTGCAGTTTAAGTCCCCCTTCTTCATCCAACAGCCTCCAACCAACAACCTACAAAAGCAAAAAGGCACATTTTCAACAGGAATACTCAGAAATATACCACTTTGACACACAGGTTTTCAAATGCAGATTTGCAGATAGGTAACTAAGAATAACCACTACATCACAACAACTAAAAGTACTTCTACAAGATGTTATCACTACTATTTTTCCTTCATCCCCTGGCATACACTTGCTTTAAAAGGATCTATCTCAGTGAGAAAAATCATGTAATTGAATTCTTAGACACTGGCACATGGACAGAACTTTACAAAATATAGACTTCCTAGGCTTGAACATGGATAAAACTTGACAAAATAGAGAAACATTGCGCCCTGTCAGTAACAATCTAATAAAACATAAAACCTATAGCAATCTAGCAACCACAAGGGTGCATCAATTATGATATTTCCACAGCCTAAATTTTGAATTTCTAAAACGTAATATTGCCTAAAAATTCTTCCCTTGCTAAATGATGAAGAACAAAAATTGCTTCTAATTTGAAGGGTGGGGAAGGGACCGCTAAAATATCATCAAGGCAAACATCAACATCCAACAGAGAAACAAAACTAAGTCCCGAAGTTCTACCTTTCCACAGTTTAAAGACATAAAACTTGGGCCTAGGAAGTCGGAAAGTTTAAGAGTTCTGTTATCGCCAAACACAAAGATACACCGAAATTAGCGCAGTGAAGCTCCATTTCCTAGAAACTAGAGCAAAATAATTCAATCCCATTAACCTCAATTCATAAACATTGTCATCATAAGCTTTTGTAACAATTAATATTGGAACAAAGAGCATAGGGTTACTTGAAAAATCACCTTCTTCATTAGAGCCTTAGCATCATCGACTGACATGGGAGCCTGCAAAGGAGAAACAGGAGAACAGTTTTGCCTAGCAAGAGAGAGAGCTGAGGTTTTAGGAATAAGAATCTTATGCTCTGTGTCACCATTTCCCAACACTTTCTCCCCAAACCCACTCTCTAGTTCTGCCGGGAAAGGGTCTCTGGCCCCAAAATCACCCAAGAAGTCAGTGCCCATAGCCCGAGTTCGGATCGCGAGTTGACTCCGAGTTGGAAAGGAAAACTTGGTGACTAGATGGTGGTGTTGGTGCCGGTGGTGGTGGTGATGACATGGAGAAGAGAGGCGAGGGAGGAGAAGAGTGAGAGAGAGGTGTGTGGCGGTGGAGGCCATGAGGAGTTGGGCGTGTGGTAGTGGGAGCTGATAACGAGGAGCTTTGTCTTTGCGGGCTTATCAAGTGGTTGACACTGAAGGTCGAACCGACAACCATCAAACCGGTTCGGAACCATTCATTACGCTATTGGCTGGGGTTATTCATCATCGTGGCTTTGGGGACCCATCTCTTTTGCTTTCTAGCACAAATTGTTTTTTCTGTCCCCCCCTTGGCCAATCACTACACTCCAAATTTGATCAATCAACTGGCTCAAAAGTGGTTCGAAGTTGGAATACAATGGTTTATGTCTTAAAATAAAAAATATACCAAAAAAGAAAAAACCTTTTCTTGTCTTTATTTTGCCGTTCCCATTACACTCATGACCCAACGATTACCAATTACCACCCCTTTTATTTGTGCCCGCGAAAAGGCCAACGGCTGCAATTCTTTACTTGAAACAACATTGCTACTATTAGTAATCAAACGGCCTTATCCTAATCAATCACGACACAATCTTTATTCTCTTTTGTCCTTCTCTCAATTAAAGTTCAAGCAATATTTGGAATTCCTCTGTAATGGCTGCGGACTTTCATTCGCAAGAAATCTCACAAAAAACAGTAACTCCCCCATCAACTCCAATGTCTTCCATGCCTTTGCAGTTGTCCGGATTTCTCAGTGGAGACACCATTCAGGTTGAGGGTGACACGGGGAATTTGCACTTCTCTGTCAAATTCAATGTCCATAACAAATGTTTGTCCAAGAATGAGAGCAACTTTCACTTTCCGAGTTTGAATTCCCTGGAGAATGATGTCTCTTGTCAGAAATCAAGTTTCTCTTCCTACGTGACTCCCAAAAGTACTCAGGAGATAGAAAATGAGATTGTAGATTCAGAGCCATCGATGGTTGAGAATCATGGGATTAAGACTGAAAGGACGGCAAAGCCTGATACAACAACGAGAAGGGCTATAATGACAAGGCTAAGGAGTGGGGCTATATCTCAGGTGAGGTATTTTCCTCGGATTTCTAGGAAGGAATGCAGGGATTTAAGGTCTTGCATGAGTATGACAATGAAACGGAAGAAAAAAAAGAGAGAGATGGGAGATATTGTATTAGAGAAGCTGCTGCAAAGACGTAGTTGTCCTGTTAGACCATGCAGTTCCTATATTTTCTTTGTAATGGCCAGTTGGGGTTCGGTTAAGTGTTCTTCCTTTGGTGAAGCAAGCAAAAGACTGAGCCAGATGTGGTGCAAATTGCCCCGTAAAGACAAGAAGGTTCTGCAATATCTTTCAATCTGTCATGATTTATCTTGTTTTCCCCCGAATTTCAATGAAAATTTGATGCTGTGTATCTTGAACAAACTTTAGACTATTTAAAACTTAAACATTAAACTCATTAATTACTTTATCTTGTAGTGCAGATATACGAGGACATAGCTCTAAAAGATAGTGCAAGGTGTAGGAGGCAATGCATGCTTTTGAACTGCCAAGTCCAGGACCGGTCTCCCCATCAGAATAGCAGTATTGATGCACATTCAGCAAATTAGGTACCGCACGGCTAGTACAGCAGAATATATGTAACTACAAGTAATCTATCATTAGATGAGTTGAGAAATTGGACAAGACTAGTAGTTATCCAAATACATTCTTGATATTCGTTTTTATTGGTAGTAGCTTTTCTCTTCTCTTATGCAGAAATAAATGGTCTTCTGGTATTTGTAGTGGCAAAGAATTGCTCAAATGGATTAGTTCTACTTCCAAGGCAAATGGATCATGCATCAGATCTTATTGCTAGAATTAGTTGAAGATAAAAATGAATACGTCAGAGAAAGAATATGAAAACATTTATGATTATGATTTATAAGTTAACGGACAAAAGAAGACGTAATCTTTTTTTCCCTCAAGAACTGTACAAACTTCAGCGGCTTCCTCAAAAGAGTCAAGCATGATATAATATGTTTAACAGTTACAGGGAGAAAGGTTTTTTGTACACATCGAATGCCTCGCTGGCGGTTAACTGTGGTTCCTGCAACAAAGTTTAAAAAGAATATTATAAAATCAGTATATGTGATCATGCTTTTTAGTGCAATGTGCAGCGTAGTAAATATACTTGCAAGCCTTAACAAAAGATGATAATGAACTTATGTTGTCAAAAACATTTCTCTAAAAAATTAGCTCCTTGGCCTTTAAAGTTACTAATCTTGCCTTGGTATATATAAATATAATATAAATATGTATGAACAGCCCATGTTTGGAGATACCTGTCTCAATCCACCACCAAGACTTCCCCCTGTTGAGAGCATTGTGAGAAGAGAAGAAATGAAACCACCCTCATGCTCATCTGTGTTATGAATGGTAGAACGCATTGCATTTAGCATGTTACCATAAGTAGTTGCATGCCCACGCTCAATGGTTTGGATGAAGGAGTAAGTCATTGCACCAGTAGAGGCAATCCTTGATAGTGCCTGTTTCACATAGCATCAACTGAACCTTTTAGACTCCATATTTAGCAGGATATAGAGAAAATGATATTCTAGCCATCAACAGATAAATTCAGCTTGAAGACTTCATTTACATTGACAGCTGTTATCTGATTATCATGTTATCATGATAAAATTGAAGCTGCATTTATCTGATGGTGTTTATCTTTAATATTAGTGAGAATTAAATTCTAAATATATGCTCTATGACTTTACCGAAGTGTCTGCAGAAGTTTGGTTATCATCACAGCCACTGAAGGAAATGACTTCCCCACCACTTGTTCCTTTCCACATCCCTGAGCGAGGGCGATGATCCTCCCAGACATATTTCCCATGCCTACATCCAAATGAAAACATACACATTTGTAGATTGCAAAATTAGTACTCTATGGAATGCAAGGAACATGGAATCATATTCTGTTTAAAATGTATGTATTAGGAAAAGGCAACAATCATGTATGTATCTCTCTGACTTCTCCCCTTATCACAATGTACCATCCAATGTTATATGCACCCTCTTTTGGTATATTGAATTTCAAGTAAGAAATACAATAAAAGACTGACTAACCTGTCCATTCTACAGAGGAATGGTAAATCTAATACAGTGCCACTATGGCAAGCATCAATGATTGCATGAAGCTTAACCCCGTGAGGTAGAGGCCTGACAATTGTAGCATTGATTTCATCATCAATAATCATTCCCTGAGATTCAAAATCTGTTGGACAAAGTGTTTCATCATATCCGTCCACCTCATCTCCAGTGTAGTTCCTTTGCTGTGAGCCATGACCAGAATAATGGAACACCAAGGAATCTCCTGGTTGACAACCTTGAACAAGCCAATACAATGCCATTCTTATGTTGTGTTTAGTAGGGCGCTTGTGAGGATCAGTTTCCTCTTCTGAAATGATTTCCAGGAGGGTTTCAGATCAGAAGTGGTCCGCATGAGCAACATTTAAACAGAAAGAAATAATTGCAATGAAGGCAAAGAAGCAATGGAAGCATCATCTAGGCTTAAACAAAGCATCACTGCTGCCCCTTGATGTAAGGAATATATTCTCAATGTTTCTTTTGGTTTGATCATGACTATACATTAGCAGCTTCCTTTACTGGTTTTATGTAATCTATCAGGCATTGTCACAAGTGAAACATTATTTTGACAGTAAGACACGTCCAAATGCATACCAAAACACGAAAGAGATCAAATTGAGTTTGTCTCAAGTGGAATTATAAATTGAATGCCCTATTCAGTTGAAACAAATTGACCCATTATGCATGCATAAAATATGTGATATTCAAAGATAGTTGGCTCATCAAACAATATTCACTATAGTTTAGAACCTTTCAAAGTTAAGCAGCATTGATCAGAGAGAACAAAATCAAGTTTTCTTACCCAGCCTGTACTCCACCAAATTGACCGAAAGCAAGTTGGAATGATTCAAACAAGTTTACCAGAAACCAATAGTAAGTCTTAATTAATGTCAACTATTTCCATAGTGAAATACTGGACGATAACACTAACCAATAACTCGTTTATTTGGTTAGCAACGCGTTGAAATGCGTTTGTTTCATAAATATCCAAATGATTCAAGACATTCGAGTTATGGTCCAACCATTATTGAAACCATCCAGGACTGAGTAAATATATACTGTTGAATTTTGTTTCCTTAGATGAATTCAACACTTGGAATAGATAAATTAAATTAGGAGCAATCACAGAAAAAAAAAAAAACAGAAGTCAAATCACACAGCATCAAAGAATCCAAAGTTATATTTTGTAATTTCAGATAAAAAAAAAAGAAAACGAAAAAGCTCATAACAAAGAAACTAGTAAGCGATTCCTTACCTGTAAGCGTGACAATGGAGGACTCGGGAAAACTGAAGCGATTAACCAACAAATATTTCATGCAATTGGCATCGTTAATGCAACCTTTGAGTTCGTAGCCGGTGTTCTTATACGACACGCCGCATATGACAGCGCGCTTGCTGCCGTGAGCTTGCGGTGGCGGTCCGGATGGCGCGTGATTGTAAGGAGAGGGACCCTGCAGTTGTGGCGGAGGTTGTTGGTAGTAGTGGCTAGAGGGCGCAGATGGAGAAGGTGCGTAGCGAGGGTCGGCTATGAATGTGACAGCTTGGCATAGGACGCAGCGGATGGACTTGGCACCTGGCGGGAGCTGCAGTGGGGTGTGGCAGCTTGAACAGTTGACGAGCATTAACATGGCTGATCTCGAGAGAGAGACAGAGTTTCGGTTCGATGAAAACAGTTTTGTTAGAATGAAAGGGAATGGTTGATAGATGATGAATAAGAATAATAATATATAGAAATTGAAGCTGTGGATTGATTATAAAATGAGGGTGGAGGAATTGGTGGGAACCGGGAAGGAAGGTGGGCAGGAAGCTGAAGGCCAGGGGGAGTCAGAAATGACTAAATATTGACTTGCATCCTCCTCAAAACGGAAACTTTCCATTACATGTGAAAGTGAAATGAACTCCGTCAGTGATCATAATTACAGACTTTGTAGACTATAGTTGGGTTTAATATTTTGTTTCCTTAACAAAAAGATCATAAAGTACCTTAGAAATGTGTTAACAATAATAAGCGTCCTCAAAGTATACTTTTAAGTACACAACTTAAGGAACTATGGATAGAAATATTTAAATTAGGCATTAATGAAATTATTATAAATTTATTAAATTAAAGATTTTTAATAATAATTATTATTTTAATGCTAGTAACCATTGTTAAGACAAAACGTACAATTGCTCATACTAAGATTTACAAAAAAAGTAAAAAAAAATTGATTCCAGCTTGAACCTCTAATTTCACTCATTTTCCCAATCAATAATTCTTCTTTGTCTTAGGTTTTGATGCTAGGCACATGAAGGGGCCCCTTCCAAGTTTCAGCCTCATGTTTAAGTTGTCACGTCAGCATGTCCAGATTAGTTTAGAGGTATTGGGTGGAGTTGTTGAAGGGTAGTTTAAGGATTTCCTCGTACCAAAAGAAAAACAAAAAGCACAAAAGTCTTTTTTTTTGCCCTTTAAAAAAAGTACTAAAGTCTTTGCCATTTTATTTCAATTTAATTATATTACTCTATTTCTCTCTAGTTATTAGCTCTGTTTTTCCTTTCACGAAATTTTAAAAAAAAATTCACTGTATTTAATAGTAAAAGTTAATTCTTTTTTTGTAAAATTGATATTTCATAATTTTAAATATCAAAAGGATTTTTTAAAAATTGAAAAACAGTTTTAAAATATTTAAAATTTAAATAAATAAATAAATAAATAAAGTTAAAAAGTAATAATTTTTTTGTACAAATCTAATTAGTATATTACTTATAGCGCGGTTATAGATGACGGATGGATATTCAAAAAGAACTTTTAATTAAAGTTGTGGGAAAAAGCTAATATTGTTTTTTAAATAATCTCTTTATTTGACAAATTCGTCACGTTTTTAAATTAATTTACGTGTTCTAAACAAACTACGTGTGTCAATTTGTGCGTGCTGGAAGAACCTGAATCACTCGATAGCGAAAATCCACCTGCAGTCTTCGATGAAACGAAGGGTGGCTAAGCACAAGGAAATTTTTAATCCTACGTAATGTTGGAGGGCGTGACAGAAGGCTTCTTCGCGGAGATTCTCGCAAATATATTTTATTATTATAGTTGCTCGAAAAAGCTACGTTAGAAAGGTTCTGCGGTTGACTTCTTCCCCAGAGGAAGCCTTTGGAACGAATGATAGGCAATTATTAGCCATCAAAATAAATAAATATATGAAAAAAATGTGTTTTTTGAATTTTTTTTAATTTAATTTTTTATTTAAAATTGTAATATTTTAAATTTTTTATTTTAAAAATTATTTTAATTTAATTTTTAATATTTTTAATTTAAATTTATTATATTAACTTGACATTAATGTGACATCCAATATTGATGTGACGTCCAATATTGATGTGACAGTGACACATTACACTTTGATTTCAAATACTAATATATTGTCACAATTAACGTGATACTACCATATCATAATTTAGGTTCGAGCTACCACGTGACACATCAAAAATATATATACTACAAATTTTTCTAATTTAATGTTAATTTTATCTTTTAAACTAATTTAACGTTCCTAGTTTCCTACTACTAAGTCTATGATAAATGTAGACTACATGGTCTACATAATCTATAAACTAATTTAAGCTTTTATCATTTCTATGAAAGTTAAAGAAGGATAAACATGAAGGTAAGGAGTTTTACGTCATTGTACAAAGAATGAACATGAAACAGTTCAATTAGAATTAACAAATCTTTGTTCGAATTCTAATTAAAATTAAAGTTACACAATATAGAACCAAATCCCAAAATAAGAAAATTAATCCATTAATAACCAAATTGATAATATGGTCATTACCAGTGAGAAGGACAATGGACGATTCGGGGAAGTTGAACTGACTAATCAGCAAGGCCTTTATTAACTTGGCATCATGAACGCAACCATCGAGCTCGTACCGGGAGTTCTTATATGACACACCACATAAACACGGCTCGCTTGCTGCTATGGACCTGAGGTGGAGGTCCTGGCAGAGCATGGTTGTAAGGCGACGAAGACAGGAGCTGTTTTACGAGGGTGACAGCCTTGCAGGTGGTGCAGTGGATGGATTTTGCGCCCGGTGTCCGAAGCTGTAGTGTTGGTGCATGGCACCTTGAACAGTTAACAATCGTTAACACGGTCAAGCAAGCAAAGCAAAGATAGAATTTCCGAATCAAAAGTTGTTTTTCCAATTATGAAAGGCGATGGCCGATACGCGAAAACTTTTGTTCTAGCAAATAACAAAGTCTTTAAAGTTTTTGAAGAAGATTGTGAGGGGTGGCGGAGTAATTGGATCCTTGAAGTATTAATTAATTACGTTGATTTGCATGTGCTTTCCTTAATTTAGATTCATTAAGAAACCACAAAGACTTGGTTGCTGCCTTGATGGAAATTTCTCGATTGAACAGATAATATATTGGTCTTATATTTTTTAAAAATTAAATTTCCTTATGTATATTCATACTACTTATAATTATTAATATATCCATGAACATTTTTTGTGAATTATAAACTACATGTGTATATTAATAAATAATTTATATGAGTATATCGTCAATTAATTATTAATTAGGAAATTTTTTTTTAAAAAGAACCTAACACTAACTGTTAATTAGTCTAGTTTATATCAATACTATTTATGAATGCACTCTTTTTGACGTAAATCATAAGTTACATGGGCAAATAAAAGTAATGTTAGAAGGTATATTTTATTTTGTATTTTGGATAATTAGTTGCTTACGGGCCTTGGTGTCTAGTTTGAATAAAATAATGAGATATCATAGAGCTAGGCAATGAAGTATTAGGGGTTTGGTATTTGACTATGGGCATGCAGTTTGGCTCCTTCTAAACTTAATCATTGTTTCGTTATACATCCCTTCTTTTATTATATCAACTAGAGAGAAGTCATGAGTCTTGTTCACGTGTATACCTATCAGATTTTTTTTTTTTTTTGCAAATTTTACTTACACTTGATGGTATATATCAGTGGAGGATGGGCTCCCCTTGTATTACACAAGCTGCAGATGTCAAAAAAGATTTGTAGCAGCTTCTCAAACCCAGAAAAAATATGAACACAGCCTCGGAGGTAAGCACAATCTCCACCACCCACAACCTTACGATCGGATTGTTCGGCCATTCGTAAGAAATAAATATCTAAAAATTTATTAGGTACGTATGTAGTTGTTATAAATGAGTTTCATAAAAAAATTATAGACTAATACGTTAGAACAATTGTTATTGCGGTAGCCTCTTCCCTTACAGTAAACAAAATCAATGAAATATAGATGTTAAGTGTGGAACTAGAACTGATTGTCCTGTTTTCGAAGTCAGACAAAACCTTGACAAAAATTACAAATTAAATGAAAGTCGAACTCTGTTTTTTAAACAAAGTAATCATGCATCAATTATTTTTAATTATTAAATCAAATATTCGGATGTCATAATATTATCATATTTTATCTTTAAAGTTAAGGTTTTAATTTCAAATCTCTAATCATTGATGCAAATAACAAATAAATTTAAAATGTTATTTAATTTTTAATCCTACCATAAATATCTTTCTTCTTTTTTTTTTTTTATTGATGGTGATATATCATAAACTTGTCTTTGATAACAGAAAGGTATTATACCACATGTTATTTGTTAAGAGTATCATTTATCATATGACTTGTTGGACGTTATTTGAGTGGAAGTTGTTGAAACATAAATTTCTAACCGTTCATGCCCTAAAACGACTCAAACTGATGAAAGCGTCTCAAAGACGTACGCATGAAATTAGGCAAAGCATTTGCAGATGGAAAGGAGGAGAAAAAAAAGGTCAATGGGTGAGACCAAATTTGGACTAGATTGACGAACAAGGATATACGTAAAATCTGTGCACAACTCGAAATCAACTACTTGGAATGAATGCATGTTTTCGACTTTTCTGTTCCATAAATGAATTTTTGTTTTCGGAGTTATGAAA